CACATGTATAGACATAAGTGTTTAGTTGTTAAACATAATGTTAAACATGTTTAGATCTAAACACGTAATGGAAGTGTTTATTTTCTAAACGCAGTTTTTACAGTGACTACTAATATATCTTTATATTTTGAGTTTCAAAGCAATTCATCAAGAAATACAAAAGTTACGGCTTCATCAAGTATACTTGATGAAGCCGTAACTTTTGTATTTCTTGATGAATTGCTTTGAAACTCAAAATATAAAGATATATTAGTAGTCTAGACGAGATAACATGGTCAAATTAGCGAGAACTCACGCGCATGCATGTGCGCTCTTCTCTGATTGGCTGATACAAAAATCTCAATAATTTCCTTGTTTTTTCACAAAATACTTTGAAATTTAGAATATAAGTATATGTTATAAGGTGCTACAACATGTTATATAGGGAATTTCTTGAAAACACGCGCATGCAGGTGTGCTGCAATCTGATTGGTTGAAACTTTAAATGTCTATAACTCCCTTGGTTTTCAACAAAACAGGATGAAATTTACGACATGGATAGGCACATAGAGCTCCTACAATATGATACTATCAAAATTGAATGCAAGGCCATGCATGCGCGTATGCTGATTTCTGATTGGCTAATACTAAAACGGTTACATCTCTCTTATTTTTCAATGAAATTCTTTAATATTTAACACAAATGTATGTATTGTGAGACACTATAAGAAAATTAATGTGAAAAATGTAGAAAACATGTGCAAGCACATGCGCTGAAATTTGATTGGCTAATACCCATATGGCTATATCGGAGTAGTTTTTCAATGAAATACCCTTAAAAATAAAGTGCCTATTTATATTACAAAAGTATTGTCTAATTTATTGAAGCTTGTAGGGAATGGGGCATCATAAGGGATTGGGGAGCCGTTTGGGGAACATCTGTAACGGTTCCCGTTACAATTAGAACTAGTTGATCTTGTATCATTGTATGATGAAGATGGATCATATTTAATTGTCGTTTGGTTGCCCAAATTAGAGTTCATGCTGAAATGTTAAATGAATTACCCCTGAATACATGATTTAAGCAACATTTTAAAAAATTTTCCAATTTCATCAAATAGCCGATAATTTTTCCCAATTCCCTAAAAATGGTGTTTCCCAAAATCATAGGCTGATAAATCCATGGATAATAGTGAAGCCAATTTAGTGTTGAGAGATACATCTTAGTTGAAGTAAAGCTGACTGGTATTTCACTGGATAAATTCAAATGTGTATAAAACATTTTGTTAATTTATAGAAGTAATTTTAATATACAAATCTTTGCAAATTTGATACTCAATTGAGATCAGAGCCCTCTGAATTACTATAAAGTAAATAATGAGCATTGCCTACTCTGCAGGTACATAACAAAATTTAAAGAAGGACTTGATTGAGAAATTATTGGAACATTAAATTTGATAGCTGCATGATCAAATTATTATAACTTTTATTTCAACGTTAATTACTTTCAATATTGTTAAACAATTAAATTGTATTTTTCTTCAATCTAAATTTAACTTAAATTTGGATCCTTATTTTTAGTTTGTGGGGATACTGAGGTTTATAACACATCACATATCACTGAAGAGCACAAAAAGAAGTTGAACATCATGAACCAAGCACTGATTGATAAACAAAAATCAGAACTAAATGAAAATGACATTCAGTCTAAAGTTAGAAATGAAGTAAAATTAAATAAAAAGAGTTATGTGATCTAGACAATAGAACTTAAAAGTACTATTGACATGTATTATTTTCATTAAAATAAACATTACTGGTATTTTAAAATGAAATTGTTGAATCCTAAATTATTTTTATTTTTCGACCACCCAATGCATTTTTTGGAGACAGAAAATCGTAAACCAAAGAAAATAAAAACTTTGGCCTAAATAAACTACATTGTACTCGAAAAAAAAGAAGATGGAAATACTAATTATACCCCCCGCAAACGAAGTTTAGGGGGGGTATATTGGAATCAGCATGTCCGTCTGTCTGTCCGTCTGTCTGTCCGTCTGTCTGTAGACGAGATTTTGTCCTGACCATTTCTTGGAAACTGTTGGAAGGATTTGTCTGAAAATTTGTACACTTATTATTCGTCATATGAAGGTGTGCACCTGGTATCTTCATTATGATTGGGTAATTTTTCTGCATTTTACAGGTGTTTTTTCATTTTTATTATGTGGTTTTGTCTGGATCTGTTCCCAGAAACTATTGCATAGATTTGTATGAAAATTTGTACACTTATTATTTACCATATGAAGATGTGCACCTGGTATTTTCAACATTATTTGATAATTTTTCTGCATTTTACAGGTGTTTTTTTTTAAATTTTTATTGACTTAGTCATTTCGGGTTCATGTCTAAGGTTTGAGACATAGAATCTAGAACATCTGTACAAAAATGTGAACTACAGCTTAAAACTACTCATTAGAACTAAAAAAAAAACCCACAAAGTATTAAAAACAGTTTTTACATTACACAGCAGATAGTGTAAATCCATTTGTCCCTTGGGAGTAATGAGTGGACATGCATCCAGTTAAAGATTAATTAATGAGTTCAGTGTGGGAAGCTGTTAGGGCATCTCTGATCAGGCAGGTCTTATCTATATCTCCGGGGAATTGGGCAGAAAGAAATAAAGATCTCTGTTGTCTAAGTCTCTTAATTGTTATTTATGTCTGTCAAAATACATAGTTACTAAAACCAGCCTTTTATTTTTAAAATGAGTTTGATATAAAGGTATTAAAATCAATTTGATTTTGTATAATTAATTTTTTTTTTTTTTTTCAACAATCAATTTGCAGAGTGTCATGTCTCACAAAGATGACAGATAGTTGCAAACTATTTTTTCATTGTAATAAAAAACACTGTAATTATTAGTGTTGATATTTTATTAGGCTGCACCTTAGTTTCATTCATTAAAATAAAGTGCCCCACCACAGCATTATACGCCCATCAAATATTGTTAAATTATCATAAACAGTTTAGATTCAATTGGTCGAATGACATCTTAGTGAGACAAGGCAGTCTGCAATTTGTTGTAAAGATATAAAAATTCAAATAAAAAATGTACAATAAATAATCAGTTTAAATTATATTATACAATATCATATAAGTTTTAATTATTATAAACAATATCAAATTAGTTTTAATTACATCAAATTTATCTTGAAAGTAAGACTAGCCAACAAGAACAATTCAATACAACACAAGCAATTAATTAAGAGACTGATTCCTTTTGCCCATTTCCCAAGAGATGTAGATAACACCTGCTTGATCAGAGATGCTCTACCAGTTATCACCTCACACTAAACTCATTAATTTATCTCTAATTTGACATGCAATTTTCTGCTATCAAAATTTTCCTTGACCAGTGCCTGATCATTACACCCATGGGAGAGGTGGAATTTTTCTTGTTACAGATTGCTGTAAAGAACATAATGAAAAAAATAAGACTAAATAATAAGCCGGACATGAAAAAGCTAACAGACGGACGGAGGGACATGAACGCTATAACATAATACGTCCCGTCTTAAGACGGACATATAAAAAATATAATGAGTAATTAAATTTTCACTGGAAATGTTTAAGGAAATTGTGAACACCTCTCACATTTAGAAAACATTAGTGATTTGGTACTTTCTCTGAAAAACCCAGCGGGGGGTATTTGTCCCTATTGGACAGTTCTAGTTCATATCTGAAAATGTTTAAACAACTTTAAACTTGTGTTTTAGTAACTTTAAAATTTGCAAAATCATTCTCGTGTTTTCATTCAAAATTGTAAGGTTGCTTTTATATCAGTCAGAGGTTATAAGTGTCTGTAAGAGAGGGAGTAAGTGTCACTGTGTTTGCTTATCTTAATTGGCTAATTGACTGAGACATCCCTGATTTGCAGATAATGAGGTGTGAACTACCTAGTATTTAACTTTCATTCCATTGAAGACAAACAATATTATTAAAACAATTAATAGCTCTCAAAACACTTAGTTCAATACAGAATGAAATTGTTTGAAAAAGACATGTACAGGAATGTTTAATGTGTACTGTCAACATACGGGCAGCCCAAATACTTCTAATGAAGTAATTCACAATAAAATATTAAATAATTTTTGCAACAAGTCAATAAATATGGAGGTTCAGATCCAAGGTTGAAAGGAATAATTAATTCCTTGGCATATTTTATTGTGGAACCATGTCTCCACTTTCCACGGTAGAGAATCCCTCATTTGGGCATTTAGTGAGAATGTTAGCCAGAATAAAACCTTAAAAGAATCTGCACTGAAACTGCAGGAACACATTCAAACTTCATTGGATAACATCAACATTTACCATTTAAATATTGCTTTGATATTTGAAGGGATAAAAACTTGGAAGTAATCGATTATTAATCGATTACATCTTCCAAAGTAATCGATTACAATCGATTACAGGACAAAAGTGAGTGTAATCGATTAGTAATCGATTACACAAATTTCTTCTAAGTAATCGATTATTAATCGATTACATTTTTCTGTAATCGTGCCCATCCCTGGTATGGATTACAATTTAGTTCGTCAGAGCCAAACCAACTGAGCTATTCTATTAAAAAGTGTCTGCTTTGTGTTGTGCCTCATCTCTTGTGATACATTGTTTTAGCTTCAATTCTGAACTTCTGTGCACTTTTCAAATTACATGTATGTGCCACAAATTAAAGGCCAGGACAGTTTCAAAGGAATATAAGGTGTTCCAGTAGTAGAGCTACAATCTCATCAGAGACCTTTTTTTTTTAAAACATAGTAGTAATATACTTTTTAATACATATAAATTTTTAAGTATTTTGCTGAATAACTCTGAGTTTAGTTAGGTTGACAATAAAAATGAATTGTAGTTCGGTTTCCTCCAATTTTCACGGTAATGTTGGTTAAAAAGTCTTATTATAAGTGCTGAAAATGATGTACATGTATCATTGGGGAATAAGATAAAGTAATGCAATTTTGTTTTGATAGGCAACCAGGTCCTGAGTTGACCCCAGAGGAGAGGGACGCTAGGACTGTGTTCTGTATGCAATTGTCAGCTAGAATTCGACCCAGGGACCTTGAGGAATTCTTTTCTTCTGTTGGAAAGGTATGAAAGAGAGGGTTCATTTCTGATATTTTTTATGAATATATATTATCAGAAATAGTCAAGTTTGGATAGTAAAGTTTGAATAAATTTGGAATTTTTCAGGTGAGAGATGTTCGTTTAATCATGGACAATAAAACCAGGAGATCTAAAGGCATTGCCTATGTGGAATTCCAAGACACTGATCCTGTGCCATTAGCTATAGGACTAACAAACCAGAAATTACTAGGTGTACCTATTATAGTTCAGCCCTCTCAGGCAGAGAAAAACAGAGTGGGAAACCCCAGCAGCATCTTGACGAAAGGAAGCATTGGACCAATGAGGCTGTATGTGGGCTCCCTTCACTTCAACATCACAGAGGAAATGCTCAGAGGAATATTTGAACCATTTGGAAAGGTAAATTTTGTTTCTCTGAAATGTATACTTAAAAAGAATTGACCATGTGCTTGTCATAAGGATTATTAAGAATGTTGTTTTCTTTATTTTCAGATTGATGACATTAAATTAATAAGAGACCATGAAACCAACAGATCCCAAGGTTATGGTTTTATATCGGTAAGTAAATGCTATTTCTTGAATTAAAGTAATAAGATTTGGATAATGAGCAGAACTCCCATTGGAGCAAAAAAAATATTTCATTACTTTGTATGGCTCAAGAATCCAGTATTATATAAACCCTTTACTAGTGTTGAAAGTAATTTTAATTTTCACAGATTTTTCTTGTGTTTCAAGTTCTTTATTTACTTCCAGTTCCATGATTCAGAGGATGCCAAGAAAGCTTTGGAACAGTTAAATGGATTCGAATTGGCTGGTCGACCAATGAAGGTTGGTCATGTGACTGAGCGACAGGGAGAAATCCAGGGGGCCTCAATGTTGGACAGTGATGAAATGGATCGAGCAGGAATAGATTTGGGGGCTACAGGTCGCCTGCAGCTAATGGCCAAACTGGCAGAGGGTAGGCAAAACCTCAGTGTTGTCATGTTTTATTTTGTAATTAATCTCTATATAAGATCATTTATTAAATAATACAGAAAAACAATAACAATAATAAAAGAACATGAAAAATGAAGAATGAGGAGATCAGTTTAAAAAAAAACTACTTAAAAGAGGAAGTGGTTCTTATTTAGGGAGTCGGAGTTCATCTTTAAGTCTTCCTTCAATTCATGAAGTCTGACTGTGATATATAATTTGTTATAAAAATGTAATTGCATTTTCAGGCACAGGATTCCAGATTCCTGAATATGCTGCTTCAGCCCTGAATATTAGCCAGCAGACACCAGGCGTGGCCACAGTGCCCCCTGCAGGAGCACCCCCTAATGTATCAGCCATATTGGGAAGTCAAGGCACAGGACAAGATAGTACAGCACCTCCGATAGCCACACAGTGTTTTATGCTCTCAAATATGTTTGATCCTAATGTGTAAGTACAATAGCATATTTCTAATATAGAGAGAAAAAATCTGTCAGATATTCATATACAGTTCTAATGGCTAACAAGTTCATCTAGTTTTGGTTCATTGTCCAAGAATTTCTATGCCAAAGGTGATGGATGAAATTGTTTCATGAATAAATGTAAATTTTTCCTAAAAGTGGAAATTAGAGGGGTTCAAGAAAATTGTTCATATAGCAACATTTTCTTAAAAAAAAAAAGGTATGCATTTTCAAATGCTAATAAGAAAATGTTGTATTTATATGACTTTCATGAAGAAGCAGAAATGTTATTAAATATTTACTTCACTAGTACATACTGTAGAATTGCCTTTTTGGATTTGTGTTTTTTGTCAGTTTTTGTTTTAAAAAAAAAAGTAACTTTTTATGCATTGCTCACATTCTTTTCTATAAACAACAGAGCTATTAATCCTTTAAAAGCATTGTAGATAATAAGCATACCTTTCTGTTTTGTAGGGAATCGAGGTCTAACTGGGACCAGGAGATCAGAGATGATGTTATAGAGGAATGCAATAAGCATGGGGGAGTCTTACATCTATATGTAGACAAGGCCTCACCCCAAGGAAATGTGTATGTTAAGTGTCCCACTATATCTGCAGCTGTGGCTTCTGTACGGGCCCTCCATGGAAGGTATTTTGGAGGTAAGTTATACACTGGTCTCTATATCCTTATATTCAGCTTGGAAAGGAATGTAATATCATTACATGAATAAACTTCATCAGCACCCTGGTTAGTCATGAAAATGATAAAGATCATAATGCATATGATTTGTTAATGTTTAAAGTTGATCGGAAGAAACTGTACATGTATGTACTCAAAACACCTCTATATCCTTGCCTCCCCCCTTTTAACCATTGGCATCATGCTGTTGATAGTGTATGCAGGGTTTAATAAATATGCAGGAGACAAATACATATGTGATGTTGACAGAAAATTTAAGATGATTTATGTGTTATCTAAAAATTAACTGAATGGTAATTCATCATTTATAACAAACCTTAATTAAAAGCAATTTATTTTTACAGGCAAGATGATAACAGCAGCCTATGTTCCTCTTCCTAATTACCACTCCCTGTTTCCGGATGCAGTAAGGGCCAACCAATTACTTCTCCCCTCCGCACAGGCTCTACAGGCAGGCTTCCCGACATCCATGTTCCCTAACATGCAGTCAGTGATGAGATAACCCTTCAGAGCCAGTCAGTCCATAGTTTTTGTCATCAGCATGTGATTAGTTATACTAAGAGGAGTGAAAAATATTCTTCACAGAAAAACTTGGTCATTTAACTGCTAATCATAACTGTTCATCATTGAGTGCAAGAATCAGAACTGTCCTGTTGAACAAGCATCTTCTGTAAATTTGGAAAGATGAAAATTAAAGTGACCATTTTAATTGAAACTATTGATGATTTGTAAAATTCACAAGTACATGTATGTGAGAAAAAAAAATGTTTTATCCTGTTAAGATATAGTTTTACATTCATTCATTGTAAACCAAATTAATTTTGGGTTTCATCCATCATAAGTCATCACCATTGACTGTAAATTCATTTGACAAATAGGGAAATTTTCCTTCTGTCCATTTAAAATGACAATAAAGAAGAATCTTAACATTTTGTCTTCATTAAATAATTTCTTGTTATAAAGGTAATGATTTTTCCTAATTAGCTCCAAGACCATAAATTATTAACAGACAAGTCAAAGTTTAAACCTTGAATATCTTGATTTTTATTTACTGGTGATTACAAACATGTTTAAAATGTTGCAAGTTTGTATGACATATAATTACAAATATGTTGGTACTCAAAGGAAGGGCTTGTCACAAGGAAAATACAGGTGAAATATGAAAGCCTTAGCACCAACCATTCTAACTTAGGTCAAGGTTAAAGTTTTCAAAAGTAGTTCATACACCAAGGTCAAGGTAATCAGGTCAGAAATATTGGCACCAAAGGAAAGTTCATAAGAATACCCAAGTGAAATACAGGACAAAAGTTATAGGCAAGTTTAATCAAGGTCATGAGGTCAAAAATTTTGGTACCCCAAGTACCAAGAAAGGTCTTGCCATAAGGAATACACTTACGAAATATGAACGCTCTAGCACCAATCGTTCAAAAGTTATGGCCAAGGTTAAGTTTGATAAATTAGTTCCTGTTTGAAAAACAAAAATGAAAGTCATTAAAGAAGGTATGGTTTTGGCTTTATTATGCCCTATAAAAAACTGATGTTTTCAAAAAGTTTTGAAATTTGTTTAAATACATTGAAAATGAAAGTAATAAATCATGAAAGTATTTGACATAAAGGACGGCTGTTCTGGAAATGTGACATCATTAATTTGTAATATTTCTACATATTCAACAGAAAAGCCTCAAATGACTCGTTTAAAGTCAAGATCTTGTAAATGAGTTTAGACCGTCTTTTTGGTGCCAAGTTCTTTATGACATCATAATTAATTTAAACTTACTTTTTCCTGTACTTACGGTTTTCATAAAATTTTGTAGAATTTAAATAAAGTATTTTCAATAAATTCAGTTTGAAATCATGTCAAAGGTAATCCCGATAACTATGTTCAATTTAATATCATTTTAAAGAAGAGGTCAAGAATTTGTAATTTAACGTTTTCTGAGAGACTGTAGGCAATCTGGTTATATTTGTTTTGTCTGATATAGAAAAAAATTCCCATATTTATATCTGATTTTCATTGATTGATTGATTGTTTGTTGTTTTATGTCCCATTTGAGAATTTTTCAGTCATATAGAGATGTCACCATATACTGTTGAAGGGCTTCAAATTTAGACCGGGCCATTGAGCAGTGAGGGTCCTTTATTATGCCAACGCCTACTGTGACACGGGGCCTTGGTTTTTAAGGTCTCATCTGAATGACAACTTTCACTTCAAAGTGCCGAGTGCTTGGCGAAGGAATAGTTGCTACCTAGTTTTTATCGACTTAGGTCAGTCGCGGCCGTGATTCAAACACACGACCTTCCTATCACGGATCGAGTGCTCTACCAACTGAGCTACCGTGATGGTTTCAATTTTCATTGAAAATGACTGTTAAGAAAAGTTTTTTTTGTTGAGTTTACCTGAAAATGAAGCCCTGACAAACCATATTTTACTAAGGTATAGTTATAAAGCATCATTAAAGGAATTCATTTCTCAAACTTAAGAAATTTGTATGCACCTTTCATTTACTAGATCTTGGAGTTTGAACGATTCAGAAAGCATTGGTTTTAATTTTTCACAACAATTTCTTATTTCATAGAAATAAGGACCAGATTTGTATTGAAACCATACCTTCTTTTATTCAGTGGTATAGAATGAGTTACAGGTAAGAGATAGTTACCCCCAATATTATAGAAAGATATTATAGAAAGGCCATGTTCTGCTATGGGAAACCCCAAATATCTGTTCGAGCGAAACATAAAAAAGGAGGTACACAATGGCACTCTGAAATAAAGATAATGTGAAAGTCTCGTTAAATAACGTTTTGTCACAGGTAATGACGTCAAATATGGATACTCTTTCTTCTCTCATTCAAGATATAACCAATGATAAAATTTTTAAAAAGTATGTCAAGATCACGGGGTCATACATTTGGAAAGGTCTTGTCACAGGCTATGTACACATGAAATATGAAAGCCCTATCTTTTCTCGTTCAGAAGTTATGACTGAGGTAAAAGTAAGGTTTAAGTTTTTGTTACAGACACAGGGTTGTCCCTAAGTATTGAAAAAGCAGGGAATATATAAAAAGTAGAAGGGGATTTCGGGTTCCATCCCTAACATAGTTTTGAGGGGGAATAACAGAATAACCGGGGGTTTACGTCATTATAGGCGGGGAAATTCCCCGGCCCCAGGTCAGACAGACAGACTGATAGATGAATGAGATTTAATGTCCCCTCGCTTTCGCGAAAGCACAGGACAATAATTTCTCTTAAAACAGAGTAAATATTCCTGTAAATGATCATCATAAAAGGCAACCCTAACTACAGAACTCCCGTCTCAGGAAGGTGGGGGAGGGGATTTTGAAATTTTTAAAGAAGCACTCTTTCTAATTAGTTTCTCTGCTAAATCCTCAAGTTCTGAGAAGAATTTAAGATTTTCAAAGAAGGCATTATGTATTCAAAGGACTTCTGCCCTAACTCTAGAATCCACGTCCCAGAGGCCGTGAATTTCACAATTTTGGAAGAGACACTCTTGCTCATCGTAACCATGCTTAGTTTGTCTGCTTCCAATCCAGAAGCAGAGAAGATGTTCAAAGAATTAATGGATTTTTACTGTATGATCAATGGAGCCTCACCCTATCTCCAGAACTCCTGACCCATAGGCCATGACTTTTTACAATTTTGGAAAAAGGACTTTTGTTCATTATTACCATATATGTTCTTATTTGTCTGCTAAATACCGAGGAGCAAAGAAGAAGATTTTCAAAGAATAATTCTATTCTCACTATATGACTTATAGAACCCCACCATAACACTAGAACCCCTGACCCTTGGCAATGAATTTCACAATTCTGGTAGAAGGCTTAATGCTTTTTAGCTCACCTGAGCTGAAAGCTCAGGTGAGCTTTTCTGATCACCCGTCGTCCGTCACCCGTCCGTCTGTAAACTTTTCACATTTTCAACTTCTTCTCAAGAACCACTGGGGCCAATTTTAACCAAACTTGGTACAAAGCATCCTTGGGTAAAGGGGAGTTTAAATTGTTTAAATAAAGGGCCAAGTCCCCTTACAATGGGAGATAATCAAGAAAAGACAAAAATTGGGGGGGTCATTAAAAAATCTTCTCAAGAACCACTGGGCCAAAAAAGCTGAAACTTATGTGGAAGCATCCTGGGATAGTGTAGATTCTAAATTGTAAAAATCATGACCCCCGGGGGTAGGGCGGGGCCACAATAAGGAATCCAAATTTTACATTGAAATATATAGGAAAAATCTTTAAAAATCTTCTTCTCAAGAACCACTAGACCAGAAGAGCTGAAACTTATATGGAAGCATCCTGGGGTAGTGTAGATTCTAAATTGTAAAAATCAGGACCCCCAGGGGTAGGTCAGGGCCACAATACGGAATCCAAGTTATACATTGAAATATATAGGAAAAATCTTTAAAAATCTTCTTCTCAAGAACCACTGGGCCAGAAAAGCTGAAAATGGAAGCATCCTGGGGTAATGTAGATTCTAAATTGTTAAAATCAGGACCCCTAGGGGTAGGTCGGGGCCACAATAGGGAATCCAAGTTTTACATTGAAATATATAGGAAAAATCTTTAAAAATCTTCTTCTCAAGAACCACTTGGCCAGAAGAGCTGAAACTTATGTGGAAGCATCCTGGGGTAGTGTAAATTCTAAATTGTTAAAATCAGGTCCCCCGGGGGTAGGGCGGGGCCACAATAGGGAATCCAAGTTTTACATTGAAATATATAGGAAAAATCTTTAAAAATCTTCTTCTCAAGAACCACTGGGCCAGAAAAGCTGAAACTTATGTGAAAGCATCCTGGGGTAGTAAAAATTCTTAATTGTTAAAATCAGGACCCCCGGGGGTAGGGCAGGGCCACAATAGGGAATCCAAGTTTTACATTGAAATATAAAGGAAAAATTTTTTAAAAATCTTCTTCTCAAGAACCACTGGACCAGAAAAGCTAAAACTTATGTGAAAGCATCCTGGGGTAGTAAAAATTCTAAATTGTTAAAATCAGGTCCCCCGGGGGTAGGGCGGGGCCACAATAGGTATAACCGGGGGGGGGGGGGGAATTTGGTAAAGAACAGCATGGCCAAAGTTACTCAGGTGAGCGATGTGGCCCATGGGCCTCTTGTTACAATCATGCCAACACTTTAAATGCTTGATATCTAGGAGAAAGGAGATTTTTAAAAAGATTGCATTAATTCTGATGGTTTAAGCCCCACCCCTCAGGCCCCAGAAGGGCAGGGACCATGAAATTCAAAATTTTTGTTCCCCATCACTGGTAGATGCTATATGCCAAAACTGGTTAAAATTGGTTGAGCGGTTCTAGAGAAAAAGATGGAAATGTTCAAATGTTAACACACTACACATGACGAGGCATGAAATAGATAGCAATAGGTCAACCGAGTCACTCACGTGACCTAAAAATGCAAAGCAGAGTATAAGGCATATGATTTCTTTTATACATTACTGATTCTCACACAATAAATTGAAATGGAGTGTGTTAACTTGACATGAAAATGAGTAGATTTCTACCCCTCGTCACCTGCCATCTCTAGCAAGTTAAAAAAAGACTGAAATTATATCAAGTAGTGCTCCATATACATCATGTCCATAAATCAATTTTAGGAAGGCACAAATGTTCAGACCATTTATTAAGATTTAACATTGTCATGAGTGGAGAACTGCTGGATTTATTTAGTGCAAAACTTTATTTCACACTGACATTTGTCTACTAATTGTGAACTTTCGCCCTTCGGTTTTCAATATTACTTTTATGTGTAGCCTATATGTATTGAAGTTGCATGTTACCAGTAAAACATAAAAATTACATTTTCAAATCAAAACTTCACTATTTACTTTATTATCCTCACCTTGAAAAGTGATAGGGTGTCCTTCCTTCTATCAAAACACACTTGGGAATACCCATCTCTTATTCCCAACTCCTCCAATACCACTGAATAAAATTGCTATGATTTTTGACCCCATGACCTTGAAGTTTGATCTAATTTTCTAAAATTTTAACATTAGTGATAACTTTTGAATGAGAGAAGATAGGGTGTTCATGTCTGACAAGTGCATTACCTGGGACAAGAAGTTTGCGAATGTGCTTTGATATTTGACCTGTGACCTTGACCTTCAAGTTTTACCAACAGAAAGGTATAACATTTTTAGCTCTACTGGTCAGAGACCAGAAGAGCTTATGCGATAGTAAGGTGTCCGCCTTCTGTCTGTCCGTCCGTCTGTAAACAATTTTTCAAAACGCTACTCCTCCTACAGTTTTGGTCTGATTTCAACATAACTTGGCACATAAGTAGACTACACTATGATACATAACTCTGTGTATCGGTTTTTGATTTCAATGAACGGTGTTGCCATGGTTACTAAAAATAGAGATTTTTGGGAAATACTTTCAAAATGCTACTCCTCCTACAGTTTTGATCTGATTTCAATATACATGTAACTTGGCACACAAGTAGACTATACTAAGATACATTATTCTGTGTATCGGTTTTTGATTTCAAGGAACGGTGGTGCCATGGTTACTAAAAATAGAAATTTCTGTGAAAAACTTTCAAAACGCTACTCCTCCTACAGTTTTACCGGTAGTCTGATTTCAATATAACTTGGCACACAAAAGGAGACTACACTAAAATACATAATTCTTTTATCGGTTTTTGATTTTGATGAATGGTGTTGCCATGGTTACTAAAAATAGAAATTTCTGTGAAAAAATTTCAAAATGCTACTCCTCCTACAGTTTTGTCTGATTTCAATAAAACTTGGCACACAAGTAGACTACACTAAGATACATAATTCTCTTTACCAGTTTTTGATTTTGATGAACATCGTTGCCATGGTTACTAAAAATAGAAATTTAAATTTTCTTGAAATACTTTCAAAACGCTACTCCTCCTACACTTTTTGTCTGATTTCAGTATAACTTGGCATACAAATAGACTAAACTGAGATGCATAATTGACATTAAAAGGCTACTCCTCCTACAGGTTTAGTCTGATTGCAAAAAATCTTGCCACAAAAAGAGACTAAACCAAGGATAATTATTCTGTTTATTGCTGTTGCAAAGTTTCAAGTTCAAGTGCTACTTTTATCTTCCTTTATAAGTACAACCAGTAGAGCTACAGTCTCATCAGAGACTTCTGGTTGACTTCATGACCTTGACCTAGAAGTCTGAAGGACACACTAACAAGACAGTCACAATATATGCCATAAACAATTGCATCCCAACCATGCACTAAGACACCAAAAGCAGGGGACCACAATTCTTTGAATTTGGTTGTTTCTCTTCGTTATTCTCTCACCATATTTAGTCAATGGAAATAATGTAATTGATAGAAAAATTGAATAAAAGAATTATGCAAGAATTTTTAATATATGTGTACAATATGAAAAGTACTTTTATAGTTTTTAATAGTCAGACAGACTTGTAAATAACAGATGAATAAAAATGATACAGAAATACTTTATAATTATGTACATTAAATATTATTGAAAGACCAAGAGAGGACAAGCTGAGTGTACTATGTAAGTAATGTTTCCTGGTAAAGCACTATTAATGTTCTGTTTGGTGGTGATGATAGAGCACTGCATTTAAGTCAAGCAGGTTTTCGAGTTGTTGCAGATCACCACTATCAATTTTGATGATACCTGATCATCCTTTTTCTCCTGTTTCAGGTTTTAATGTATTTTGTGTTGTCATTTAATTATCATTCCATGGATCCTTTACACAGGGCTGTATTATACTCAGGTGACCCTCTTGTTATAATTACTGAATCTTTATTTGGTCAACCGAACCAAGAAACCTATGTGGAAAGAACTCCATGTCAAAACATGCAAGACAGAATCTGTTTCCTACATTAACCAGTTAGTTTGAGTGATGGTACAATGCTACAGGTACGTGAGATAGGAGCTTGTCTAAAGACATTTCATCTGCCCTAATTCTTCTAAACAGTACATGTAGTACTGGACAAATGCAGTATATACATGTTTTAAGTATAGTATACTCTTTTTCATATACCCATTAATTATCCTTGCAGTTTTTTTTCCAGTTTGCAACATCTTTAAAATGAACCTGCTCCAAAAATATCAAAAATTTCTGGCAACTCACTAAAAAATGATGAGATACATGCATTAGCTGAAGCATGACTAGTGAACACCTTTTAGTTTTGAAGAGGAAGGGTGTTCTTCAGTGAAATCATTTGGTGACGAGGCTCAGACATCCTCTTGTCAGTGAGAGCTAAAATGCATGTTTTAATAATTTGTAGTGTTAGTGTAACAGGAAAGTAGAGAATGTATGGCTGGACCGGGAATCAAACCCTGGACCCCTGTATCACTGGTCAGGTGATCTGCCTACTACTGAGCTACCCAGGCCAATATCCACAGCCCAAACCATTACATTAACTACAGAATACTATGCAATCTATTTACATAGGGCACTAAACTTTGAATTCTCTATATCCATTATTCTTGTCATTGTCTTGCCCAGATAAGATGCATTAGATTGTATCGTTTTGTGGAATTTGACACCATAATCTCTTTGGTTACAGGTATACCCGAATTAATAGAAGTCTAGATACCAACTGTCCTGTTCATGTCCTTATAAATGTTCCTATATACATTGGTGTAACCATGAACCAGTATGGAAGATGTGCTTCATCTCTTGCTATAGAACTTGACCAGGCGTTGAAATATACATTAGCCTATCGCCTGGGGCTAGTCATTTTAAGACTCAGGCTAGCTAATTTAAATGTAATGATAGTCCGTTGGACTAGCAGAACAAAATTCTCGTCAGTTTACTTTCGCTTTTCTATGTAGACTGATTTCTTTTGACTATGAACTAATTTAATTTGTTTCTGTCACCAAAGTGTTTGAAACTTTAATATGTTATGTTTTCATTCTGCATTAAAAATTGTTGGGCTAGTTAGTTTGAGGTTTGGGCTAGTAATTTTTTACTGATCAGTAGCCCCTGGGCTAGTGGGTTTTCCAGGAAAATTTCAACCCCTGACTTAACATTTTACTGCAGAGATTCAAAATAAATTGCTCATTTTTATGGCATGCTTGCTAAAGTCCCAGATAAATGACAGTTTATTGTTAAATTGATATACATGTAGTACCTAGTGATCTAAAGAACCTTCAAGTTCAATAGACATGTTCTAAATACCGGATGGGTATGTTAATATAAACATGTTTAAAAATAATGACAATATTTTTTTCCATTTTATAAAATTTTATTCGAACTGATGCATAGATTTTATTTAACACACACCAGGTTGAAATTGAAATTGTTGATACATGTATTATAATTTGCATTTCCCGCCCTATTTTCATACATTCCTTCACGCGAAACCGAGATTTTAAGAAACAGTTGAACTTCAACAGTCCATGAACAACTGAATAAAAAAAACAATGTAAAAAATTGTAGCAAAAACATCAAAGATAACAATTAACCATTATTATGCATGTTATATGTACAACTACATAAATGCACTATTCACATTCCCAAGCTAGAGGTTGTGTAGCACTAAAGAGTTTAAAAATTCAGAGACCTAATTAAAACATCTACACTGATTGACAATTTCAAGTTCTCAGAGATGCTTTATTTCTTACATAGTCACTGTCAAAAAAAATAACGGCCACAGTCATGTCGTCTCTTTGAGTTCGACACACATGGTCAGGTAATGAGAGGAAGTAGGAGATTTGTCTGTGCTCTGGACCTAAAGCATTGCGAATAAGATGAGTAGCGGCATTGTCATCAATACTTCTATTAGCCAACTTAGTTTTCCTTTCCATCAGATATTGATTCATTGCTTTCAGATTCATACTTGTATCTATCTGAGGATCAATCAATATCTGTTTTCCATCAATATGACCTGCCACAAGTTTGACCACTTTTTCTGGGGATAACATGTCAAAAAGTCCATCAGAGGCAATTACAAGAAATTTGTCTTTTGGGGTGAGTTTGTAATGGATCACCTCGGGATCTGCTATAAGATATGGTGGAGTTTTGTAATTTTGGGGAACAACTTTACCTCCATAATATCCCCCAACTTCAGCTGAGGGAGAATTCAAATATCTCTCAATTTCTTTTGCCTCAGTAAATGACAATTTATATCGAATATCACCAAAAGCCCGTAGTGGAGCAAGTTCACCAAAAAGACGATTGTTTTTTATGATGTGAGTTGATTCATTCTTGTGTTGATCTAAAATTCTGCGAATTTCAGATGCATTCTGGGCATTGTGAGCATTTGAAAGTGGGACAGCAGCATATTCAGATTCTTGAACATTCACCCCTAGCACAGCACGACAGTCACCCACATTGGCAACATACAGATCTGTGTCGTCTATGTATGAAACTGTTGCACACGAGCCAGCCATAGCTGATAGAAGAGAATCTGTGTTGAATTCCTTATTCTGTTCACTTGGAATAGCCTCCTGAATTATATCATGGTCTAGTCTCAGAAAAGCATCTTTAAGATGCTGCTCTACGCTGGTAGGCTCATAAGCTGCAAGAGCTTCTCGTGCATATCTCAAAACTGCTCTTTGATACAAACGATGGGGATGCTCAGAGTAGAGATCTTTTTGATACCAGTGTACCAATTTGTTTATACCTCGATTTCCAGATATTAAATCTTCTAGAATGTCATAGGAAGCTAAGGAAATAGCAATGTAGTGGAATATACGTTCACTAACAGCACTAGCACACCCATAACCACCGTGTCCGTCATAAACACCAAACAAAAATTTTAATGGACTGAGCTTAGCATATCCATCCCTGTCTTCAATGGGATCGTTAGCAGCTAACCTGTTGATATCCACACTTTTCACGGCACCCTCCTGAATGTCGAATCTCCTCTGTTCTAGCTCCAGAATAGACGTTACTTGCTGAGGTGATAATTTTGCTGATGTCTCTAAGTCTGGAATTTTTGTAGCAGACTTGAATGACACCAAGACTCTACTTCTGTTTCGTCTGAGGTTTTGTGAGCTAACATGAAGCCGACAAGGCTGTAAAACATGATGCTGGATTTTATCCAAGGTCACGGAGTGTAGAGGGAGAGAAACTTTTCGCCCTAGGGCAGTGCTCGCCCTGATCATAATTCAGAATCTCTTTCTTCTTTTTCAGTCGTTGAACATGTTTTAAATCGCACAGATAATTCACACACACATGTACATAAAAATAGGTAAGTTAAAGGTAATTTCTCACTGGCCTGACGAGGGATCTGTTCTGCACCAATATCTCTTTCTCGACTTATTCGCGATACCAAAAATTACAAGAACGAATTAACAAATTCATTCAATTTCCGGTAGTTTACAAAACAAATCAAAAATGGCCCACACGTCAAAAATTTTCCCTGTTGTTTTTCGTAGATGCTTTGCCCAGGTTCCACGACATTTACAGACATGCACAGCAGTTCGGAAAATTCATTTAGACAGGGAAATGGCTTCTGCAGCGACAGCCGCAGCAGGTAACTGTTATATACTTGTTATCAGATTAAGATTGATTTCGTAACACAGTGCCATGTGGTTATAAATAGGGACAGATAATGTGCATGATGGCACATCCTGCATTCTGATATGCCATTATGCAAGTGAAATAAACTAAAAATGAAAACATCCTGCCTTTTTGCTAATTTTGTATCCTGTCTACACGGTTTTCAATTCTTTTAATCTGGTTAAAAAAAAACCACCCACCATACTATTGCATAGTAGATGTGTTTATTGAGGTCTGCCTTTGCTTTTGATTTAAAGCTATATACATGATATATGGCATAATCTGAGCTAAAAATAAAAATACGAGATTGAGTGTAGATAAACATGATACATGTTATTTTTGTTCAAATTAAAATTTTCACGGATTTAGAACTTGAATAACCTCATGTTTCCATAGTTAAATTGACTTTAAACTGTGTCTGTTGTTTAAATGCTGAGTCGGTAAATAAATCGGTTATTGTTTTAAATTTCTAATATCTTTGAAACGTGATTGATTTAAATTGTGTAATTTACAGGAAAGTCCTATCTTTATACAGCAAAACTCCGTTATAATGAAGTTCTGGGGACCTGTGAATTTACTTCGCTATATCCGTAATTCGTTATATCTGTATAGCGAATTCCTTAAAGTATGCATTGCGAATTCGTTATATTAATTTTTTCCTTCAAGCATGACTACCAAATGTATTTAGGGAAGTTTGAAATATAAAATTTATCTTGTGGTTTAAAAGTTTTAGAATGAATTTAGTTTCAAATGTTTAAACTTACAAAATTATTATCAGTTCAACATTTTGAAAATTAAGATCTTTAAAAATTTGCATAAAAGATGTCAATTTTGTTATATTTCACTTCTAGGGGACACAAAATCGGTTCGCTATAGCCGTAAATTCGCTATATCCGAGTTCTTTATATCCGTAAAATTTTACAAGGAATTGTTAAGAATTTTGACGGGGATAGCAAAAAACTTCGCTATATCTGTAAATTCGCTATATCCGTGTTCGTATTAAATGAGTTTTGCTGTATAAAGTAATAATAAAAACAAATATAAAGATAATTTTAGTTAGTCTGAACTTATAAAAAATATGCCATATACGACTTTAGTGATAAACCCTTCATAAAAGTTAGATTTTTACATCTAAGAACTTAGGTATCATTTTTAGCTCACCTCGACGAAGTCGAGATGAGCTTATGCTATACCCTCGGTGTCGGTGTCGTCGTTAGCGAAGCTGGTCCCAGCTTAAGAGCAAGTCCATTCCCAAGTAACTATAAGCCGTACCTGGACCAATCTTGCATGGATGATGCATCTAGGGATGGACACTACCACACTTGCTTCGGATGCTGGATCTGACCTAGATTTTCCAGATGAGTGACCAGGTTAAAGTTTTTGGAGCAGGTCCATACCCAAGTAACTATTAGCCCTACCTTGACCAAACTTGCATGGATGATGCATTTAGGGATGGACACTACCACACTTGCTTGGTATGCTGGATTTGACCTAAATTTTCCAGATGAGTGACCAGGTTAATGTTTTTGGAGCAAGTCCATACCCAAGTAACTTTTAGCCCTACCTGGACCAAACTTGCATGGATGATGCATCTAAGGATGGACACTACCACACTTGCTTCGGATGCTGGATCTGACCTAGATTTTCCAGATGAGTGACCAGATAAAGTTTTTGGAACAGGTTCATACCCAAGTAACTATTAGCCCTACCTTGACCAAACTTGCATGGATGATGCATTTAGGGATGGACACTACCACACTTGCTTGGTATGCTGGATCTGACCTAGATTTTCCAGATGAGTGACCAGGTTAAAGTTTTTGGAGCAAGTCCATACCCAAGTAACTATTAGCCCTACCTGAACCAAACTTGCATGGATGATGCATCTAAGGATCGATACTACCACACTTGCTTCGGATGCTGGATCTGACCTAGATTTTCCAGATCAGTCACCAGGTTAAAGTTTTTGGAGTAGGTCCATTCCCAAATAAATATTAGCAATACCTTGAACAAACATGCATGGATGATGCATCTAGGGATGGACACTACCACACTTGCTTCGGATACTGGATCTGACCTAGATTTTCCAGATGAGTGACCAGGTTAAAGTTTTTTGAGCAGGTCCATTCCCAAGTAAATATTAGCAATACCTTGAACAAACATGCATGGATGATGCATTTAGGGATGGACACTACCACACTTGCTTCGGATGCTGGATCTGACTTAGATTTTCCAGATGAGTGACCACGTTAAAGTTTTTGGAGCAGGTCCATTCCCAAGTAACTATAAGCCTTACCTTGACCAAACTTGCATGGATGATGCATCTTGGGATGTACACTAACCAACCTGCTTCGGATGCTGGATTTGACCTAGATTTTCCACATGAGTGAATTTTAGCCATATTTTAACCAAATTAGCATGGATGATGTAGCTAGGGATGGTCACTTTCAGACTTGCTTTGGATTCTGAATCTGACCTACATTTTCCAGATGAGTGACCAGGATAATTTTTTGGGAGTAGCTATATAACATTATGGCCTGTTATGATTAAACTGGCATAGATGGTGCATCTAAGGATGAAAACTTCCAGACTTACTTTAGATGTTGGAACTGACCAAAATTTTCTTGATTAGTAAACAGGATAAATGTTTTTTGAACAGGTCTATTTCCAAGTAACTATAAGTGATTAGTCGTACTTAAACCAAACTTGAATAGATATTGATCTTGCGATGTACACTAACTAAATAAAGAATATGATGTGAAATTTGCCTTACTTAAAGATAACATTCCTTGAAGTGAGCTTCGTCATCTTTGATTACCTATGTTTTGACATCTGTTAGGATAAAGATTTTGGTGCATTACTTATAATCAAATGCCATATATAGTAGATTTGATCATGCACTTATTCTCTTTAGAGAAGTGGACAGACTTTCGCCGACATCCAGGCAAAAGCCTGTCCACTTCTCTAATGAGAATAATCAAGCACTTACCATGCTTACCAAATTGTATCATTATACCCTCAGATGTTTTATAAGATAAACCTTATTACTTATATTTATTTACATTTGTTACTGGCATGCAACAAATAGCCATGGAGCTGAAAACTTAAAAATAATATTTCATTCTTCAAAAATAAATTATATTAATATGTTGAGGTTTGACAGTTAGGGCAAGCTCAGATGCATATTGTTGGATACCTATTCAGTTTTAACATGTTTAATGGAGATCCACCTCTTCAAACCACCCAAGACATTTGGAATGTCTAAATTCTGATGTCACATGATGCCTTATATTAGGTGCATTACCATAATGAAGTATGAAAAGTGCAAATTTTAACAAAGAAGGCTTAATCTTAGACTACTATTTATCTTAATATCCATTAAATCAAGGTGAGTTATTTATTTGGTGAAATTTTTGTTGTTACCATGGAAATGTAGTTAGAGCGAGATGCATTCATGCTGCATTGTGGGTCTCTAGGTTACTGCGGAAAAAAATCATTTGGATCAGTGTGCAGAGTCTGAATTTTCTCTTCACCCAGTTGAATTAATTAAAGGTTTATCAAATAGATGTCACTGTAAAATTATGTTGACTATTTATGACATACAATCAAATTTTGGCCCTTTTAGAAACTACATTCATTCAGTGATTAAAAAAAATTCAAAAAAGTCATCAAATTCAAAGGCAATTTCTGACAGAGTTTGGAATGAAAAATATGCATTCAATATTCATCTCAAAATGGATGAAAGGGTGCTTTTAAAATATGGGTGAAAACACTGGGATTGGTCAAAAACTTATACTAGTCATGTGGGAGTGCACATGCTCAAAAAGAAAAAAAAAAAGAACAAATATCCACAAAATACAGGTCACACAAAATCTGAATCATCACAATCATTATTGATAGTATTACATGGCCAGTATTTATTATATTAACAGTGAAACCAAGGGTTCCACACTTGGAAGAGGAAAGAAAGGACATGCCAGAGAGAAATATGAAACCCTTATATCTTGATGCCCAGGCAACTACCCCACTGGTAAGTTTTCTGTACTTTTACCATGTATACTGGCACATACTTAAGAAAAAAAGGCATAACTGTAATTTAAACTTTAAAGCATTCCATAACTCGGGACATATTTGAAAATTGATACAAACTTGAAAGAATTATCTTTAATTTGAAATTAGTATACATTTAGGCTATTTTTAGAAATCAGAAGTACACAATTTTTAAAGTCAAAAAAATATGGTTATCGATAGTTTTGAATTATATTAGGACCCCAGAGTTCTTGATGCTATGCTTCCTTACTTTGTGACTTTATATGGAAACCCCCATTCCCGGACTCATGCTTATGGGTGGGAGAGTGAGGCAGCAGTGGAACATGCCAGGAAGGTATTCTTATCTTTATAGTATTTTGTTAAAATGATTTTTTTAGTGTATAGCAAGTAAAAACATCATTTCTTAAATTATTTTGGTCTTCATAAAATAACACATGTATTGATATAAATGTAATATTTGTTTGTTTCATGTCCTTATAATTTGGATACTTGAATTTGGATACTTGAATGCTTATTTTGTAATTTTTAAGCAAGTAGCCAAGTTAATTGGTGCAGATCCAAGGGAGATAATCTTTACAAGTGGTGCCACAGAGTCAAACAATATAGCTGTGAAAGGCTGTGCTCGGTTTTACAAGGCTAAGAAAAATCATGTTATCACCACACAAACAGTAAGATTCTTCTACTTCTAATAAAACACTACCTATGCAGTCAGTACATCACATGAAGGCAAATTGCACATTAGCTGCAATAATGTAGCCCTCTCCCTTTGAGGGGGGGGGATCAGATTGAAAAAAATCGGAGAGGGCTACATTGTTGCAGCTAATTGTACATGTATATCTTATTAGGAACTGTTGGTTGATGAGTACTAAATTTTTGTGTACTTTGACAGGAACACAAATGTGTGCTGGATTCTTGCAGAGCTTTAGAAGCAGAGGGCTTCAAAGTGACTTACCTACCTGTCCAGAAAAATGGATTGATAGATCTAAAGGTCAGTTAAAAATGGTATTTCAGTTGTGAAAGTTCATGAAATACTAATCTGTGACAATGATATAAATAATTGATTGTTCTGATGTCAGGCCTTAGAGAATTCAATGAGTGATGATACTGTTCTGGTTTCTGTAATGGCTGTCAACAATGAAATTGGTGTAGAACAACCCATCGCAGAAATTGGTATGTTGCTGTGAATTCTTCAAAGTTTAGCTCTCCTGATTAAACACCAATTGTTTTGATCAAATTTTGTCCATCAGCTATAAGCATTTCTCTTCCTAATTGCAGAAAGTAAAGGATTTTCACTTTGCAGCTATGTTAAGGTTGCGTATATATGTTCACCTTAGGATGCAGAGGTCAAGAAAACAATTATGATGTCACATTAAAACAATACAAAAGAATTCAGATTTCAAAAAAAAACAAAACATTTTTCTTACATGCTTAATTAATTTTCTTCTCTATAGTAAATGAATTGTTTATGGAACAATATGTATTAGGCTTCATTAAAAACAACATGTAAATATTAAATGAAGTTATGTTACAATTTAGAAGTTATTTCTTTTATTAAATGTGATCATAGACTCAAGTGAGCACTGTGGCCCTGTCTTCATCGTATAATTATTAACTTAGATTTATTGTACATGTAATACTATCACTGTGAAGTTTGTACTATAGCATTTATTTATACAGTTACAATGATATAAATGCACAGCTGATCATGCATTTGAATGTAGAGGTTATTATTCTGCTAATTTGGACTTACTTCGTAGGAGAACTGTGCAGATCCAGAAAGATCTTTTTTCACACGGATGCTGCACAAGCAGTGGGAAAAATACCACTGGATGTCAACGCCATGAAGATCGACATGATGTCAATTAGTGGTCACAAGATTTATGGACCAAAAGGTGAATTTTTAAATTCTCTGCAGTTATAGCAACCTTTTATGTAAACTATGTAAAACTGATAAAATATTTTAATCCTTGTACACTTGCCATCACATAAATACATGTATAACTTTCCTTTTCAAGGAAGAGAGTTGATTCTCATACTTTCAGATCTAGAGATACACATTTTTGCCTAGGATTTGAATTTTGTGGAAAATCTAGTTTGGCAACAGTAAATACTATATATACATGAAATTAGCAGTAGTTTCCATTCTTTATCTCTGTCAGGTGTTGGAGCTCTGTACGTCAGAAGACGTCCTCGTGTCAGGATTGAGGCACCCCAGAGTGGTGGGGGCCAGGAAAGAGGGATGAGAAGTGGCACAGTCCCCACTCCCCTAGTTGTGGGACTAGGGGCAGCCTGTGAGGTAGCAATCCAAGAGATGGAGGTAGGGAACATAGCATCTTTTACAAGTGACGTTTTTTGGAAAATATCATATACACAGTACATGTACAGGATTTAAATTTACTTGACATAATAATGATTTACAGTAAATTACCGGTGTGAAAAAAGGAATTGCTTATTAAAAATATGTCAACATTATTTTGTTTTACAGTATGACCATGCTCGCATCAAGTACCTTTCGGATCGATTAATCAGCAAGCTTCAGTCAGCGTTACCAATGGTGATAAGAAATGGAGATCCTGAAAAATCCTACCCAGGTGTGTTTTCCATCAAAATCTAGATCTCAGTTAGATATGCTTACATATAATATATTGGAAAACAGACATTGAAATTATTCTATTTCACTTTGGTAGAAAATATAAGGTAGGCTTACCGGGTAATTAGCTTTCTTCATATTTTTATATTAAATGCATTGTTTAATTATCTAACAGGTTGTATCAATCTTTCTTTTGCTTTTGTGGAGGGAGAGAGTTTATTGATGGCTCTCAAGGACATTGCATTATCATCTGGAAGGTAAATACGTCCTTTTTTCTTCTGTTTTAACTACCCTGAAAACATGTTGCAAACTAGAATTGGCAAGAAAGGAACAATAACTCTGAACTGACCTGATTTTTCAGCGCCTGTACCTCTGCCTCTTTAGAACCATCATATGTGCTGAGAGCAGTTGGAGCAGATGAAGATTTGGCACATTCATCTATCAGGTACGTAAAAACAGAGAAATAATTGAAAATCCCTTCCAGGTACTTTTTCACACTATGATGGTGTCCTGTACTTGTAGCAACAAATTAAATCTATTTGTGACACTATATCCCTCAGCTTATAAGCAGGTACCCTCTAAATATTTAGTTCTAAGGATTAAGAAACCCTTGGAAGATGTGAAAGTAAATTCATGTTTTTTTAATTTAATTTCAATGACAACCAAGTGTATCCAAGTACAGAATTATAAGTGTCATTTAGAGTATTACAAGTTTTTCATCCTTTCTGTGTCAGGTTTGGAATTGGACGATTCACAACAGAGGCTGAAGTAGACTACACAGCAGAAAAGTGTATTGAGCATGTCACAAGGTTACGAGAAATGAGGTAATAATGAAATATAAAGAAATGAAGAGAAAAAAAAATAATCTTGATAAAAGTTAAAATTTGTTATTTTCTGAAGTACTAGGTAATAAGATTAAATATTTGCTCCTTAATAATGATATTTCAGACAGTGAGAATCATTGTTACACCACTGCAATTTGTTCTTATGGTTGCCAGCTCATCCATAATGTATTTATTTGATTTCTCAGTCCTCTGTGGGAGATGGCTCAGGAAGGCATTGACCTGAAAACGATCCAGTGGTCTCAACACTGACTGTGAGATCCAGTGGTTTCGACACTGACCATGAGATTCTCCACTCTAGTGTTTACCGTGTCCAAACTCCACCATAACATGATGTTGCAATCTGTGCTGATTTTAGATTGCAATTTAAATGTTGCAGAAATTTATTTGAACGAGCTTGTAGCTTGCGATTATTTTTCAATGAGCTTGGTGTACTGATAATGAGAACCTGAACATGTTTTTCTGTAGTGTCTGATTTTGAAAACCAACTCATTTTCTAAAAGATTGTTGATTTTTTTGTGTAAACCTGTTAGATTGCTTAAAAGTATTTCATAAAATATAATGGAAGCAATCTTTGTTTTCTCAAAACTTGTTAGTATTCAAGATAGCATGTTTATTTCCCTTAATACATTAATTTATTACTAGTTTGGAAATAATTTGGAACAACTTCTATCGAATTATTGCAATCAGTGCATTGCCCCCAGTAAACACATTTACATTTGGTATTCTTAGGTCACCGATTTACAAATTCTGTGTTATGTGAATGGAGTTGATGGTGTGTTGTTCCACATGTAGATCAGAATGTGTTGATTGTATTGCTTCTTGTGATATTTGAAATTGGTCAACTTTAGGAAGAACGAAGAAATGTACCTGTATGATTCTAAATTCAGGACCGTGTGTAATGTTTGGGAAGAAAGATTTTTTGTCTGTTAATGCCATGCTGTTGATATTATTATTAAAATATTAAAAAAAAATTGTCACGCATACATGTACATGAATGTAAAGTCATTATTTATTGTGTGCTGTATACTGTAAATCTACTACCAAGTATTATATGCATCAGTTTTTAGCTCACCTGAGTCGAAGGCTCAAGTGAGCTTTTCTGATCAAAATTTGTCTGTTGTCTGTCGTCGTCGGCGTTGTCGTTGTTGTCGTCGTAAACTTTTCACAATTTCATCATCTTCTCCAAAACTACTGGGCCAATTTCAACCAAACTTGGCACAGAGTATCTGTGGGTGAAGGGGATTCAAGTTTGTTCAAATGAAGGGCCATGCCCTCTTTCAAGGGGAGATAATAAAGAATTGGTGAAAAATTAATAGCATCTTTTAAAAATCTTCTTCTCAAAAACCACAGGGCTAGGAAAGATGAAACTCATGTGAAAGCATCCTTTGGTAGTGTAGATTCAAGTTTGTTCAAATCATGACCCCCGGGGGTAGGGTGGGGCCACAATGGAGGATCAAAGTTTTACATAGAAATATATAGGAAAAACCTTTAAAAATCTTCTTCTCAAGAACAGCAAAGCCATGATGAGTTATATTTATATGGAAGCATCTTCAGGTAGTGTAAATTCAAGTTTGTTCAAATCATGACCCCCGGAGGTAGGGCGGGGCCACAATGGAGGATCAAAGTTTTACATAGAAATATATAGGAAAAACCTTTAAAAATCTTCTTCTCAAGAATAGCCAAGCCATGATGAGTCATATTTATATGGAAGCATCCTCAGGTAGTGCAAATTCTAGTTTATTCAAATCATGACCCCCGGGGGTAGGGCGGGGCCACAATGGAGGATCAAAGTTTTACATAGAAATATATAGGGAAAACCTTTAGAAATCTTCTCAAGAACAGCAAAGCCATGATGAGTCATATTTATATGGAAGCATCCTCAGGTAGTGTCAATTCTAGTTCGTTAAAATGATGACCCCCGGGGGTAGGGCGGGGCCACAATGGTGGATCAAAATTTTACATAGAAATATATAGGAAAAACCTTTAGAAATCTTTTCTCAAGAACAGCAAAGCCATGACGAGTCATATTTATATAGAAGCATCCGCAGGTAGTGTCAATTCTAGTTCGTTAAAATGATGACCCCCGGGGGTAGGGCGGGGCAACAATGGTGGATCAAAATTTTACATAGAAATATATAGGAAAAATCTTCTTCTCAGGAACAGCAAAGCCATGATGAGTCATATTTATATGGAAGCATCCGCATGTTGGGTAGATTCTGTTTTGCTCAAATCATGACACCCGGGGGTAGGGTGCGGCCACAAATGAGGATTAAATAGAAATATATAGGAAAATATCTTCTTCTGAAGAACCGCAATGCCATGATTAGTCATTTTGATATGGAAGCATCCTCAGGTAGTGTAGATTGAAGTTTGTTAAAATGGTGACCTCCAGGGATAGGGTCGGGCCACAATGCGGGGTCAAAAATTTTACATAAGAACATATAGAAAAAATATTTCTTCTCAAGAACGGAAAAGCTATGTTTAGTCATATTGATATGGAAGCATCCTCAGGTAGTGTAGATTCAAGTTTGTTCAAATGATGACCCCTGGGATAGGGAGGAGCCACAATGGGGGATCAAATTTTTACAAAGGAATATATGGGAATTTTTTTTAAAATCTCAAGTACAACAAAGCCATTAGTTTTGCCAAGCCAATGTGCTCAGGTGAGCGATGTGGCCCATGTGCCTCTTGTTTAATTCTTGGATCACTAATAAAAAACTGGTAATACATGTATTTAGTTTCAGGTTTCTTGTTTCATAAACCTTTTAAAGTCCTTGACTGTATGCAAATCTCTCAGATATTTATAGCATGCATTTAAAAGTTGGTTTACATTAAGTGTGAAAGTTCTACAAAGATCAGGGAAGGCTCATTCTCTCAGTTGGAGATACATGTAAAATTAAGTCCTACTGATATTGTAGAGGAATGATCCGCTTAGTGGAAAACAAAATCCAGATTTGAGTTCGTCAAAATTGTCTGTTATTATTAAACACATCTTTGAGCTGTATTGCTGTGATATTTAGCTTTGTTTGGTTTTACATGCATATGCACCCCAAAATAATAAATGTGCAAACAGTTCATCTTACTGATACATTTTGCTAAACTAGCTGAAGCCAATACTGCCCATTGCCTTATACATATATTATAGACATTACTGACAAAAATGGGGGGGGGGGATAAAATCTTTAAATGGAATTAACAGGTATACAAGAGTTGTAATAACAAAATTCAACAAGCATTCTGAGAGTATTGCATTAGCAATACTAGTCCCCTACTGGCAAGTGTAATCTGGTTCCTGTTAAAAATTGAAAATGCCATAATTATGTCAAAAATCATTTAAGCGGAACAAAATGCAATCTTGATCTATAACTAATCAAGGTCAAGTCACATACCAAAAAATCAGCTCAATATCTGGAAGCGTTTAGAAAAAAATTGCAGAAAACCCTTAAAAATTGTAAAGGTTGTAATTCCATCGAAAATCAATGAAGCGGAATGAAATGCAAACTTGATCTGTAACTCATCAAGATACACTCATATACCAAAAATCAGCTCAATATCTGCAAGCGTTTAGGAAAAAAATGCGGAAAACCAAGTGGGACAGACAGATGGATGGACAGATGCAGAGGAAACCTATAGTCCCCTCCGGTTTCACCAGTAGGGGACTAATAACGACTGTAACAGTCCCTGAAGCTGTGGACACCTCTATAATCAGAGGGGCTGTGCTGGTATATGGGTCCACCTTGATGAGTTAAAGAACTTTGCATTTTTGATGGAATTACGTCTTTTGGACTCATCACCTGAATGTCTTTTGAAGTGTAATACATGACACACTAAGAGTTGATGCTGACCGCCTAACTTGCCAAATAGATACATGTACTGTTATGTCTGAAATGTAAATTGAATCTTGACTTACATGTATCTCAGTGTTTACAAAATGCATGATTGTAAGCCACAGAATTGGATCTGCTCCCACTTAAAAACTTGATTTGTTAAAGCTAAAGGAGATTCAAACCTTAATCTTAACAATATTAAAACAGTAGCTCCTTTCTGGCTATGATACTCGCTACAAAAAATTACAAGATTAAATACACATTTTAACACGGAAAGGTAGTATGAATCCATCCTTTGAAGCAAAACTCGTACAGGTTAGGTCCAGCCAGGGCTAATAAATATATAGGCATAGCCCTTATTTCAAGAAATTTAAGTTCTATAAGGATTCTCTGTTGCAAATGTGAATTGGATTGAGGGAATGGACTGGTTCACAGACAGATGTTGAAAATTTGGAAAATTAATAGATGGACAAACTTTCATCAGTAATAAAGCTCATGAGAGCTAAAAAGAACATGGCAATCCAATATTGACATGAAGAATAAAGCTTCTTGATGCCGTCCTGATGCCTACATGTGTACAAAGCAAAAGCTAGTACAATTTTGAAATTATTGCTCAAATTTTTATCTTAGTTACCATGGTTACAACATCCAATGAGTTTAAAAATTGATCAAAATACAACTATGTATCTTGATAAAGTACTCAGTTGTGCATTATTGAAATCAAACCAAAACTAGAGGAGAGGTAGCATTCTTTACAAACAGATAGAAAGACAAGAGACACTTCAACTAGATGAGTTAATAAAAAATCAGAAAAGATCATGGAGTCTTAAAATTTTTATTTGTTGACAAGACAGACACAACATTGAAATGGAAGTCAACAACATTGCACATAGTATGAGAAAACAATATATTTCCAGATCATTAAAATACTTATTTTAGTGTAAGTACACTGATAACTCATTGATTCTAATGATACAATCTATAGTAAAATATCAACAATGTATAAATAATGATCAATGTGAGGAAATAAAAAAAAAAAGAGTTTAAAACAATAACTAGGCTGTTCACCAACTAAATCATACTTATTTGTAGGAATAAATATTACCTGTATAAAACTAATGTATATAAATCAAGAAAAGAGAATGTATGCATGATGAGGCTGCTCACATTTTAAATCTGAAAGTATAATGACTGCAATATACATGTACATGTATGCATATTTTTCACAAAAACTTTGATTCTTAATCAGACTATATCTAGTATTAAATAGATATTGATTAACACAAGCAGCAAAAATTCATGTCATGCATAAAACAACATTTCTAGAATGCAACAGATCAAAAAAAAAAAAAAAAAAAAAAAAATTCGGCACAGCCAGCATTATTGATATTGCACTGGGCAGTATTTAACTCTGAGGCATGTACATGCACACTTAGTCCATTAATACATGTATATAGGTTTTTCTCAAATTTTTGATAGCTTAAATCTCATTATCTTATATAGAAATTTGATTTCATTTATAATGGTTGCATTAGGCAAATAAAAGTACATGTAAATTATTGGCTCCCAAGTTCAGGTGGTGGGAGCTGAAAAACAATTATGGTTGGTGGGGGGAAACAGAAGATGTTGTCTGGTCCATCCATTTAATGTTTGTAAGTCCTATACAACACATACATGTAGCACTGACATTTTGAATGCCTTTAAAACATCAAACTCTTAAAAATATAACTTCCTTGCCTCATTTGATTTTTAAAAAGTGGCTTGAGATCTAACATCTATTTTGTTTGGCCTCAAATATTTTGGACAATAAAATTCATTTATTACTGATAATGGAAAGGGTTTTTTTAAAAAAAAAGAAAAGAAAAAAAAAGATCTAATTCTGATAAACACTTCTTTACAGAACACATTCTCCCTTGATTAAGACTCAGACTTCCTTGACTTTCTTCTTTGCACAGGAGCTGGCTCAGGAGTTGACAGATTTGCTAATCTTGTTTTTGCTTCTTCTAAAATTTTCTTAAGCTCCTCCTACAAATGGAACAAAATATAAATTGTGAAACTCATGAACTGCATAGCAAGTCTCTATAAGACACAGTTTTAAGTTTTCATCCAAAGTGAAAGTTCGGGACAACAGAAAAAGGAAACACAGTAATGCCCAATTCTTACATATCTTACACACAAAAATAGCATAAGACAACACCATTCAATCTTCTACAAACATTTTTATTTTTACTTAAAATATTCTTGGGATAAATGGCTTAAATCATTATTTTTAACATGACTGAGGATAATTTAAAGACAAAAAGTAAAAATCATTCTCCACTCAGATATAATACCGCCGTGTGTCTGTAGTAGAGAGCTGAACCTACCTCAGTGTGCCTTAAGTAGAGAACTGAACCTACCTTTGTGTGCCTGTAGTAGAGAACTGAACCTACCTCAGTGTGCATGTAATAGAGTACTGAACCTACCTCAGCTGCCTGTAGTTGATACCTGAACCTTTATCAGTGTGTCTTAAAAGAGATCTGAACCTATCTCAATGTGTCTGTAATAGATAACTGAACCTACCTCAGGAGGAACTGAACTGACTTCAGTGTGTCTGAAGTAGAGATCTGAACCTACCTCAGTGTGCCTGTAGTAAAGATCTGAACCTACTTCAGTGTGCCTGTATTAGAGATCTGAACCTACCTCAGTGTGCCTGTAGTAAAGATCTTAACCTACCTCAGTGTGCATGTATCAGAGAACTGAACCTACCTCAGTGTGCCTGTAATAGAGGAGTGAGCCCACCTCAGTGTACCTGTATATAGTAGAGAACTAAACCCTACCACAGTGTGCACACAACAACGATCTGAACTTTGCTCAGTGTCCCTGTAGTAGAAATGTGAACCTACCTCAGTGTGCCTGTAGTAAAGAACACACGTTTTTGACTTTTTCTTTCTTTGAGCCTGTATGACTCCTTGCTCCAGGGAATAGGTTTGGTCTGTAGCTGTGTTTAATAACTGTAAAAATAACTCTATATTAAAGTCTTATAGGAACACAATTCCATCTCATGTCTTAAACAGTTTCCTGTATATTTAGTGATTGTATGTATGTTTCCTATGCCTCTACAGTTGTACTTTACACAAGTAAAAAGAGTTTCTTGTATTGTGCACATAAACATCATGTACCTGTACCTTTTCTCGGATTTCAAAAGTTTTTATAAGGATGAAATAATTTTGTATTTTTCTCAAGTCAACAAAAAAATTGCTAATGGGTACAAAGTAAAATGGAGTTGTCAATGCACTCATTAAAAGTGAAAACAACAATTTTCTGATGAAATATCCTACCATAGATAGATAACAGATTTTTTTGGTGACTTCACATCGAGTTGTATTCTCTTCTGTATCCACGGAGGCTCTGCGTGATACAGACTGACTTAGTCGAGTGTTGGTTGGGGTTGCCATTCTTTTATTTTGGTTCACTCCAAGGTCATGAAGCACTCTCCTGTGGGACAGCTCTCTGTGTCTAAAGGTAATAAGTTCAATATTGAACTGAATAAAGAGACTAAACTTTGGTTCAAACCTTGAAGTACACAACTACTACATGTCAGTGCATTTCAACTGTTTATACTCTTATTGCAAGAAGTAATTTTAATATTTGTTTGCAACTGGAATATATTATAACAATCATGACTTTTTTAATAAAATGTTTAAATATTTACAACTATGCTGTTTTTCTGTCTTTATGTACCTACAGTATTTGCTCAAAAGCTGGAATGCCGAGTCTAAGAAGATCAGGAGGTGTGGTTGTGTCTTCCATTATCTGACAGACAAGTTCATCCATAGAGAACAGCTCTGGCTCCTGACAAGTCTGCAAGGTCTACAAAACACAGATATACTCAAAGGAAGGGTTTAAAGAATTAATAAGAATGCAATATTCAGAATTTCTTAAACTGAATTATATTCTGAAGGGTTAATGCTAGACTTGGATAAAATGGAACAAATTACAGTATGGATTCAGAAAACAATTCCAGAAGATTTTTTTCCTGACTTTATTTAGGCAGCAGTTATATCCAGGGCAACATATTTCCAGGAGCCAACTTTTTAAAGCCATGGATGATGTTTTTATGCTCATTTGTCAAAATAAAAAAAAAAACAAAGCAAGATTCCTCTACCTCAGCTGTTTGGAAGCCAAGCTGAATCCATTCTTTAGTTGCAAAGTGAGCTGACTCAGCGAGAGTGTATCCACAGCTGATAGTGGCAGTGTAACATTTAGGGAAGACAACCACAAACTGGTGGGGAGACTGAACACAACGACTCAAGTGGACCCCCTTCTGTAGGAGAATCTCAGGAGGCACCTGTAGATAAGAAATTAAACAGAGAAAGTCTTTATGAAGGACAGAGAGGACCATGGAATGTTTATCACAGTGTTACATAATTATTGCTTTTCTTTAAAGAATTTTCATCATTTAATATTTATTCAAAACCCTTGGTAATGTATGCTAATTTTCTTTTTGTCTAAGGTACGCCCTTAAATTACAAATGTATCATTAATTAATGTTCTACGCAATTCCAATGTGTAACTGACCATAGCAGTGTCCTCTTTGAGCCATCGGGGTGAGTTACTGACTAGAGTTGGAATAACCTCCTTCATCACAGATTTAAACTTGGCCTCCTCTTGAGCTGGCACAGCATACCTAAAATATACAGTTAAGTTGTTAAAGTCATGACCTATGAGGAAGGGATAAGACAGTTCTATATAAGAACACACATGTATATTTGAAGTTTGGTATCTGAAACTACAATATATCAAGTATCACAGTAAGTAAGTCTACTGTTCTGATTATACATGTACATGTATTAGGAATTCAAATCTAAAAAAAATCTGCATTCTAACTTGGAAGATTTATCAGCCTGCAGTGTTCCAGATAGTATGGTTAAACAAAGCATTTTTTTTCTATGACAATGCTTCAACTTTAATATGAAAGCACACTTTGGCCCTACATACAAGGTACTAGTTACTAATTTAAACACTTTCTTTATACAGGATTACAATACTGGAGTAAATGTGGTTAATTGGTATTTGTCAGAAAGAAAAGTGCATAATTCTAAAACATTCATAATACCCAGTAATCGATGACTAACTTCTGTATTTAAAAAGAATTGCTCTGACTGAAAAATCAACTAATCGCTGTATCAATAATCCATAAAATTCATAATGGTTTTCATTTGATAAAGAGACATTAATATTGCTGGGTTTCTCACCACACAATGTCCCCCTCTCCATGTAAATACTGGACGTATGGCAGATGATGGATGTCAGTGGACCAACAGGAGGCAGTGTACAGCATACCAACATGTAGAGTGGGTACTGTTACTCCTAAAAATTAACATACTGTATTGAAATTAGGAATTCAGTGACAAAGCATGCTGCCTGCCAAATAAAAATCTCCAGCCTTTCTCTTCTCTCAATCTGAAGAAAATATGTCTCATTCTACGATTTACTGTACTGTTGGAAGGTATAAAACTTTGTATAATGAGCAAGCAGAATTTTTTTCTCTCCATTAGCATTTTGTGAACGATACTATACATCAAATGTCCAGTTACTGCCCAAGAAGATATTAATGGATTATGAAATATTTACCTGATGCAGATCCTAGGTATCTCAGCAAAAACTGAGATGAGAGTTCTAGATTATGAAAAATTTATCTGGTACAGCTCCTAGTATCTCAAGACTGTCTGAGATAAGAGTTCTAGATTCTGATATATTTACCTGGTACAGGTCCTAGGTATCTCAACAGAGACTGTCTGAGATAAGAGTTCTAGATTCTGATATATTTACCTAGTACTGATCCTAGGTATCTCAGCAGAGACTGTCTGAGATAAGAGTTCTAGATTCTGATATATTTACCTGGTACTGATCCTAGGTATCTCGGCAGAGACTGTTTGAGATAAGAGTTCTAGATTCTAATATACTTACCTGGTACTGGTCCTAGGTATCTCAGCAGAGACTGTCTGAGATAGGAGTTCTAGATTCTAATATATTTACCTGGTACGGGTCCTGGGTATCTCAGCAGAGACTGTCTGAGATAAGAGTTCTAGATTCTAATATATTTACCTGGTACTGATCCTAGGTATCTCAGCAGAGACTGTCTGAGATAAGAGTTCTAGATTCTAATATACTTACCTGGAACTGGTCCTAGGTATCTCAGCAGAGACAGTCTGAGATAGGAGTTCTAGATTCTGATATATTTACCTGGTACGGGTCCTAGGTATCTCAGCAGAGACTGTCTGAGATAAGAGTTCTAGATTCTGATATATTTACCTGGTACAGGTCCTAGGTATCTCAGCAGAGACTGTCTGAGATAAGAGTTCTAGATTCTGATATATTTACCTGGTACGGGTCCTAGGTATCTCAACAGAGACTGTCTGAGATAGGAGTTCTAGATTCTGATATATTTACCTGGTATGGGTCCTAGGAATCTCAGCAGAGACTGTCTGAGATAGGAGTTCTAGATTCTGATATATTTACCTGGTACTGATCCTAGGTATCTCAGCAGAGACTGTCTGAGATAGGAGTTCTAGATTCTGATATATTTACCTGGTACAGGTCCTAGGTATCTCAGCAGAGACTGTCTGAGATAAGAGTTCTAGATTCTGATATATTTACCTGGTACGGGTCCTAGGTATCTCAACAGAGACTGGGAATGTTGTGGGAGCAGATTCAGGTTCCAGGGATGTCTAAAATTAACACAATCATTTAAGTTCTACACTGGCACTGGCAAAAATAATTTTAAGGCATTTAATTATCAATTTCGTTCTATTTTTTTTTAATGGCATGTGCAAAAATACTGGATACCATACATGCACAATTTTTGTAATTTGGTATCATTGTATCCTATATCTGATAAGTCAGATTTTATGTAATGTTTACTTAGAGTAATGGTTTTCTTTTTTGGTAGGAAATAAGCTACAGTTCTGGGTTTTTGTGTCTACATGGCCTCCATGGACTGCTATATGTCTGGTCCTGCTCCCGACTATCTCCCAGAACTGTTTCTAAAATGAAATAACAACCAAGCTTATTATAGGTGCAAACTAGTGAAGACAGTAATTCAGTAAAATAATGAGGTAGTACGGAGACAGTAAAACTAGTACACTGTATCACTAATAAAAAAAAGCTGGATTTTTCTGTCTTTTGTTAAATACTCTACAATTATTATACATGTACATATACTTATCTCATACAATAGCCATATAATTACACTGTAAATCTCAGTGACATTTGTTTGTTTTTTGTGTTTATTTTGTCTTATTTTGGGGGGCATACCTCCAACTCCTCTGTTTTTAGGGTCTGCTCCTTCAGGTGTTGTGAGGCAGTGTTCCTAGCCATCTGAATAAATCGACCCAAGGACATGTTCTTTCCCTGATAATTGAGCACATTGTAAATGTAATACATGTAACTACAAAACATATTAGTTACCTGTAACTTTCAACCAAAACATTACAATGTTTAAGTTTCTCTACCTTGACAATACAGTCTTCTTCCTGGTCCTCTCGTTTGACCTTCATTCTCTCAGCCTTGACCTGACCTTCAAGTTTAGATTTCTCCTCGGCAGTCAAGTCATTGTAAGAAAGCAGAAACTTACAGTATGCATCATACAGTTTAGTGCCTCGATCCTGTGCCTACAATATAGCAACATCAAACATTGTCAACAAAGAATGAACTTAATCTAAACATGGATACAAATTCAAAAAAAAAAAAAAAAATGAGAAAGAATCCAATGTTTATTCTTGATATTTATCATAGATTTCATCTTCATGAAGAAATTAATTCTTCTACAAACTGGAATGACAATCAGTGAAAACTCATTGAGAATAAGAAATCAATGTGAATAAGAACTTAAAATTAAAAATGCACATTCTACCATTTTTGGAACATTCATAGCATCAGCCACTCTGGCCCACTTCTTTTTCTCCACTTCATGCCTCATTCCACCAAAGTCCTGAATCGTTCTGTCCAGGTCACAAACATCCAGCTCCACCCCTCCTATCTACATCAAATACAGTCCCAATACACAGTCATGCCAACTTAAAAACAGCTAGTGGTAACAGTCATCACATTCTTTTTTTCAACATCAAACATCATTTACTGATTGTCTGTTTCAAGTAATGAAACTTGTGAAACTGTACCTCTGGTATCTGGATTTGTTCTGCTGGATTTAAAGCTTCCAGATGTTTTCTGATACACTCTAGCTTCTCCACATTTGGGCCAAACCTGAAAAATGAATGTGTATATTACGTTTTTATCTCAGATAATGTTAATCATGAGGACTCTTTGAAATGAATTTAAAGTTCAAATCATTATTGCAATATACACAATTGACAGAATTTTCTGCTATTTGTGAGAAACTATTGAACAAGTTACCTTTTAAACAGTTTGTGTGTATACTGTTTCTGAGAGGTAAACCTTATATCTTCACTGATTTTACCTTCCATCTGCATCCAAAAGTAAAACATAGATATAAAAATGAATACATCTCATTTCTCCAATAAAAAATATGATGTAGAAAAAGTTTTTATTTCAGCTTGGATATCACACCTAGTTTAGCGTACCTTCCAGCTGACTGGGGGTATGATTTTACACATCCCATATGGTTCTGCTCTTGGAGCAATGCTCTGGACGTATTGTAGGGGGCGCTGAAACTCTTCCTCGGTCGGGTAAAAGGTTGGTATTTCAGTAAGGCTAGTAGAGATCTCACGGGGAGATTGTGGTGTGTCTGACCGCAGGGATTTTAAAGGACTCTCTGAATCCCGTAATCTCAGATTCTTAGATCCAACTGAAATGACAATGAAAACATCATGCTAGATCTTAACTCATATTAACAAATATATGATCATACAAGTAAATAATTAATGAAAGAAATGTTTCAATAATATACTAAAAGCTTTGAACCATAAAAAGTATGAATTAAAATAACTCTTTTTATTGCTTTTACAATCCATTTTGTATATAGAAAGCATGTCAATTGAATCTGCAGACAACTGATAAACAAAATAAGTGATATTTATCCAATTTTGAACACATTTTATAAATCAGAATATTCTCTAAGAAAATGCTTAATGAGATACACTGACATGTTTTCCATCATACTTACCACTATTTTTTCTCGTCTTTGGTTGTTCAGGTGATGATTCCGAGTTACTGTTGGGATGAGTATTGGATTCTGACAATCTCGTAACACGTTGTTGTCGAACTGGACGGCGCTCAGGGACATTTGTTTGATGTTTATCATTATTACTTTTATCTTTATTACTTTTAATATTTGAGCCACTGAAATCCTGATTGACATTTCTCTTGGAAACATCACTACTTTCAGTAGAGTTGGAGTCACTCGATTTGCTAGATGATCTAGTACTTCTTCTTTCACCATGACTAAAATCTTTATTAAATTTTAACCTATTCCTTAACAGCTGTCTACCATGTGTTGTAGATTTAAGTGAATTTTTATTCATTTTTTTAAATCTAGAATTTTTAAAAGGGAAATCATGAGCTTCAGACATGAATTCTTTAAATTTTCTTTTATGAGGGAATGTGACTTCATCATCAGATGTTGAACGCTCTTCAACGTCATCGAGATCCTCCATGTAAAATTTGAGTGCATTTTGCTTCGCTTGTCTCCGTGGTAACCGCATGGCAATATAGTCATTAGGCAGTGTCATTACTTTATTGATCTTTGGTCCGATTGGTCGTTTCTTGGACGTTTGTCGAGTCACCTGCAAGGCACACTTAGGTGGCTGTATATAAAAAAAAGTTTAACAAGAACTAATGCATTTTCCAATTTATGTTATATATATTCAAATCGGTTCACCCATTTGTTAATTCAAACCATAAAGAAGATGTTAAATTTATGCTTTTATTTGAAGTGAAACCTTAACTCTCCTGTTAACATTTTATAAATCCAAACAGCAAACTAAATAACATTACAAACAAGAACCTATACCATAGCACATAATACAAACAAAAACAAAACATTTCTGTGAGACAGATATACCAAAATTAACACATCTCTAGAAAATGCAAACATAATGAGTAAATTCAGTAAGCACCAGCTAGTGTGTAACAAAAGCACTAATATTTAAAGCACTGGCATATTTAATGTAATTGTTTATAATACTTCAAGAGATAAAAGCTGAGAATTCTACCTCATACAAAATCACCTTAGATGTTAATTTTTGTATGTATAGAAAAGAAAAAGAAAGTATTAAAACAAAAAAGATTCTGTATCTAGATTTAGAGTTACATTACAAAAATATCAGAGGTTTTACAATATTTTTGTTTATACTCTTCCATCAGCACAGTGATTTATCTGAAAGATGGATTGCATAAACAACCTGTGCTCTCTTTTACAAAAAAACTTGCAACTAAGATCAAAAACTATTTGATTGTAAAAATATTACAAAATTTACCATTCTTTCAAAAATTGTTTGCATGAAAATAACTTTCAAAATTCTTTTTAAAAAATATTAATCCCATTTCCATATTAATGTAAAGAAGAAAGTTATTCACAAAATTATATTTGGTCTTTGTAAATTGACCTCTATGTTGAATTTTTAGAATATGTGTTCTCAATGCTGGGTTAGTATTTTTCAACTCATTATTTGATCAGCTACTTTAAATCAATTATCATAATACAAGTATCATCGTTTTAAATTTTAAAATGTCTTATTAGAATTGACTAGAGAAAAAAGTTCAGGCACATGGTGCATATACCAGAGTATACATGCATTAGAAATACCATGAGGACATTATAGCAGGGGGTAAAGGGTACAACCCCTTCCTTTGCTGGCAGTTTATATTGGGAACAGAACAATTATTTCTGTCATGTATATTTCTGTCCATGATTAGGATGTTCCTATTTTCATCAATAGATTTACTACTATAACTTCCATCACAAGATTTTCTCTTGTTTTCCTGAAGAATATGAGAATCAACATTGAGAATCTGACAGTTTTCCATGGAATCCATCAACTGTGATGAAGGAGTGTTTGATTGATGTTGCTCTGTATCCTTGCTTTCTCCATGTTTTCCTTTATCCTTAGTCTCAACATCATTATTGTTACTGCTATCTAAAAGTCCATGCTGTACATACTGTCCAAACCAAGGAGAGGCTTGAGACTGTGAAACTCTGGTATTGCAATTCTCATCAACTTCTGAAGGGTGGATCCGAAATTCCTTTAGAAAGTCTTTTCTGCATTTAAACCTCACATTATCTGTCTCACTCTCTGATGAGAGAGATTCCTGAGGAATTGTTGGCTGCAGAGGTGGGGAGAGGTATGAAGTAACCATTGGTTTCTGTAGAGAATCATCAGTAAGAACTGACACAGCAGCAGTCTCAGACACTTCTGCTTCCTTCCTGCTCATATTTAGACAATCATTGAGGTTCCTTAATAGATCAGGCATCAGGTTTGTCTGGGTGATACTGGGAAGCTTCTCTCTTGAATTCCGGGATATCTGCCGTGCAGACTGTTCTGTCAGTGGCAACAGGTGTCTGTCTGAGATAGAGGTGGGTGTCATTACTGAATCATGCGACAACTGCCGTGTAGAATGTGTGGCAAGTGGTGCATGGTGATTCTGAGAGCCAGAGCAATGTTTCTCTTCTAATTCATAGGAAGAATGGTTGATAAGTGGTGCTGGGTGGCTCTGGGTATCATTGGACAATGTCTCCATAGAGGATGTATCACTCAGAGGTCGACTGATGGATTGTGGGAAATGAACATCACTAAAAGGCTGACCTTTGGATTTTGCGAAATCGATTACAGGTTTTTTATTTGATTTCCAGACAATCCCTGGCATATGTGGAGGCCTCTGAAAGACATTACTTCCTAGCTTAATTGCATCTGTCTTAATCATAAGTGGTCGCTTCAAGGACAAACAATTAACTGCATGGAGTTTTGGTAGATTGGAATCTGTTTCCTCTGCTGCAAATGTTTCTTTATTGGAATCTGTATGTAGGTCAAGTGGTACAATTTGATCTCCACTACAGTCCACACGTCCAGGTGATTTCAGTTCCTCAGTATCAACATTCATGCTGTTGTTTAGAGGGGCAACAACCTTTGAAGAAACATCACTCTTAACTAAACAATAAGGCAGAACAACATTGACCTGTCTTCTCTCATCACACCTGTTCTGTACCTTGAGGCCAATTCCTAGGTGTTTAACAATCTGTTCATTTGATGACATCTCAGTTTGCTCTCTCTTAGATTTGTGATGAATGATGATTTTGTCTGTTTCTATCTTTATAGAAGTAATACCCTGATTGAGTAAAGAGGGTACATGTATGAGTCTTTCTGAGCTTAGAGGAATCAGAGAAAGATCCCTGTTACAAATTTCAGTATTCTTTCCTGATCCATGCTTTTGCTCTTTTGGTAAACTTAGATCTAGAGGAACATCCTTATCCTGTTCATACACTGGTTTATTTTCAGAGTTTTTGGTATATTCCAAACCTGCTGCAGTATGCCTATACTCAAAATCTTGAGGTTTGTTAGCACCAACAATACAGGCTTCACTGTTAGACATCAATTCTGTAGAACTCTTTAGCTTTTGTTGATTTTCATAAAACAGGTCACCTGCTAGTGATGGCGAAGTGATCTTCCTGATATCTGAGATATTATCCCCATTCTGAACGTAAGACAAACCTGTATCTTCCATTTTGGAATCATCTGTAACATTTCCTGGGTATGTACTTTTAGTCACATCACAACTCTTACCACTACATATGACTTCATGGTCAGGGACTCTTCGCACTTCCACACAAAATGAATGTGCAGAAGTCTGAGAAGTATTCAAAACAGTGTTTGGAGACTCTTTCTTGTTCACAGCATCACCTTCAGGATAAAACTGATCTTGGTTTGATAAAGTTGTATCTTGTGATAAAGTGCAAATCTGTCCCTCTTGTTGGACTGAGTTGGAGCAAGCTGATTCAGGATTACTGGATGCTAAGTCATTTGTGTTCCCTGGTTGTAAAAATGGCTCAGAAAATACACTTAAACCTCCATGATCTAAATCAAGGAAATCTGGTTCCTCTTTCAGAACAAGCTCTGGTATTTCCTGTAAATAGGTCAATCCATTAGAAGACAAAATAGACTGATACTCCTCATCAGAAAGATCTTGTTCCTCCTTCAAAGTAAGCATCTCCTCTACTCCTTCCTCTGTCTGATGTGATGGTTGTACACTGGTACCAGAATTAGTTTGCTGTTCTTCTGTCTCTATTTTACAAATCTTGATGGCAGAGGTAGCAAACAGAACATCATCATCGGACAAACGAGTCTGAATCACTGTCGCAATGGCTTTCTCTACAGGGGAATTCTGCTTAGCAGCATCCAACATGTCATCAGTCAACATTTTGATGTCTTCTGTAACTTCTGACTGGACAGTCTGAAGCATGTTACCATCTGATGTTTGGACATTCTCTGCATTATCTTTGTTTACTAGGTCACACTCCTCTTGTACATCAGAGTACAATTCAGGCGGATGATCATTCTCAGACAGATTGTAGAAATCAGGAGGGATAAGTGGAAACAGGTCAGGGAAGTTTGAGATACATAAGTTGGTGAGAGAAGCATCTATGTTAGTGCTATATGCTGGTGTAAATATATTCTGGCATTCCACAAGACAAGTGCAGTCCACCATTCTACCATGCAAACTACAGGATACAATGTCACTACAAGCAACACCAAGTGCTTTTGTTACCTTGTTAGCTTTATTTTGTTCTTCAGCAGGTTCTGTTTTCTTGAACTTGACAGGTGGAGCCTTTTGGGTCAGTGTGGCCACAGCCTTCCTCTTGGAAGCTAGTCTATCCTTTCCCAATCTTCTCTTTCCGAGCCTGTTGTTGATGATCTTTGATGGTGAGGTCTCTTTAATAGGTGGAGTTTTGACAGGAGTGATGTTCAATGCCCTTGCAGGCCGTCCACGGCGAGCGAGAGGTGACTTGGTTTTTGGTGTCTTGTCTAGTCTTTTGACTCCAGCCAGACCCCTACATGTCTCTGGTGTACCCGCACTGGCTCGGGCAGCCTTCTTACATGGTGTTGTAAATTTGTTCACCTGAAAATAGCATTTAATCTTATTACAAATTTACATACTGTAAATCACTTTTTATTCGTGAGAACTTTATTTTTGTGTAATTGTGCAAGACTGACTTCTGGCAAAAATTTCATTCTTGCACACATTTACATATTTTTATTATTAAAGATTATATAAAACAATAACCAACGTTCATGAAAATTTTGTTTAGCTAATAAATCCTAAAAAATTTTGTCATGAATAAAAGTCTCACAAAAATTTGGTTATCTACGATAATACAATCCGATCAGAAACATGTAATTATCTATCAAGTTAGGCTTTGAACTGTCAATTCTGTCAAATGATAACTCTATTAAGATGTAAACCTAGTAATTCATTAAATGTATTTACAAAAGGGAGTCAATGAGTGACCATATCAGAATAACTCAGTGTTATATAGTGTTGTGTGTGTTAACTGACCGGTGTAAACATCGGCTCCTCTGTTCCATTACTGATACTGGTGGAGGAGGAGGAAGAGGAGCTGTCTCTACCATTACGCCCACTCAAACTGCTGTTGTCATAACGACTGTAGTTAAAGAAGTCCAAATGTGGCGGCAAAAGAGATGTTCCTGTAAAGAAAGCCATTACAACAGACAATTATACACCACATATTAATTGGATAAAACAGTGGATAAACAAGATGTGATTGTGTAAAGAAAAACTAGAAATATGTCCATAGGACATGAATGCCCCGCCAAGGGTATATTAGTAATACAACATTTTAACACAAATTGAGAAAAGTGAGGTCAAGGTCAAAGGAAAGGTCAAGGTCAAAAAATATTGCTGCAGTTGAATAGCTTACATCAGTATGTATCAGCATATGACGTTTGATTCAGAAACTAATTTAAGAAAAGTGAGGTCAAGATCAAAGGAAAGGTCAAGATCAAAAAATGTTAATGTAGTTAAAAAAGGTTACATCAGTATGTATTAGCATATGAAGTTTGATGAAAATATTATGAATGGTTTCTTTAAAACTGAGCTAAACACTAATTTAAGAAAAGTGAGGTCAAGGTCAAAGGAAAGGTCAAGGTCAAAAAATATTGATGCAGTTGAATAGCTCTCATCAGTATGTATCAGTAAATGAAGTTTGACACTAATTTAAGAAAAGTGAGGTCAAGGTCAAAGGAAAGGTCAAGGTCAAAAAAGGTTGATGCAGTTGAATAGCTTACATCAGTATGTATTAGCATATGAAGTTTGATGAAAATATTATGAATGGTTTCTTTAAAACTGAGCTAAACACTAATTTAAGAAAAGTGAGGTCAAGGTCAAAGGAAAGGTCAAGGTCAAAAAATATTGATGCAGTTGAATAGCTCTCATCAGTATGTATCAGCATATGAAGTTTGACACTAATTTAAGAAAAGTGAGGTCAAGGTCAAAGGAAAGGTCAAGGTCAAAAAATGTTGATGCAGTTGAATAGCTCTCATCAGTATGTATCAGCATATGAAGTTTGATAACACTATCTTGAATGGTATCTTTAAAACTGAGCTAAAAACTTATTTAAGAAAAGTGAGGTAAAGGTCAAAGGAAAGGTCAAGGTAAAAAATATTGATGCAGTTGAATAGCTCTCATCAGTATGTATCAGCATATGAAGTTTGTTAAAAATATCTTGAATGGTTTCATTAAAACAGAGCTAAACATTAATTTAAGAAAAGTGAGGTCAAGGTCAAAATAAAGGTCAAGGTCAAAAAAATGTTGATGCAATTGAATAGCTTACATCAGTATGTATCAACATATGAAGTTTGATTACACTATCTTGAATGGTATCTTTAAAACTGAGCTAAACACTAATTTAAGAAAAGTGAGGTCAAGGTCAAAGGAAAGGTCAAGGTCAAAAAATGTTGATGCAGTTGCATAGCCCTCATCAATATCTATCAGCATATGAAGTTTGATAAAAATATCTTGGATAGTTTCTTTGAAACTGAGCTTTGAACAGAGCTAAACGCAAAGTGTGACGGAAGGACAGACGGAAGGACGGAAGGACAGAAGGACGGAAGGACAGAAGGACGGAAGACGGACATGACAAACACTATATGCCCCGGCCATATTCATGGCGGGGCATAAAAAATCAAGAAATGTTTTTAGAAACATGTATGCCCTTAAGGGGCAATATTAAAAAGAATTAACTTTAAATTTAGAATGTCTGTGATGAAAGTGTGACCTCAAAATCAATAGGGATTATCTACTCTTTGAGGGAACAAATGTACCAAGTTTGATGTCTGTCAAGCAAAGGGTTCTGAGAATATGACCTTTTTCAAAATGACCTTGTAGCAGGGTCTCGTTATACTCTATGTGCCAAGTTTAAGGCTTTAATGTTTCTCTATTACATCATGTCCATAATTATGACCATGATATACACATTTCCAATCCCTTTGACCTTGATCTATATTAAATGACCTTGAATAAGAGTTATTTTATACTTTTTTCATCATAAGTGTTCTCTGTGTCAAGAATGAATATCGAATGTTTCTGCTTTACAAGATTAATTACCAAAACAAATTTTATTCTTCCAATCCCTGTGTGTCCTTGACTCTGTATCAAGGTCATGTCACACTCTGTGATCAAAAGATAATATCTGATCAAATGTAAGTCCCCATAATGTTTACTGTACTTCAAAAGGCTGTGAGCAAGGTAAAAACTACAGACAGACTAAAAGACAAACATACAAAAAACAATGTGCTACTTGGTCATAGATCTTGAAAAGAAATAAAGCAAAAATTTAAACAATTATTAAAACAAAAATGAATAGTAAACATCAAAATTTGTGAAGTAATAGTGAAACACAACTTTAACAGTATGATAAACCAACAAATACATATTGATTATGGAGAAGGGACAAGAAAGGTTGAAATCACAGATTCTCTGTACCTCTGAGACACAGGAAAGTCAGGAAGTCCTCGGTTTTTGCCCTCTTTGGAAATACGATAGTGGACGATGTTGTAGCTTTTGGCACTGGAGTAGAGCTGGTTTCTGAAGAAGGAGTAATAGTGTTGGGTTGGTTCATGGCAAACTTCCTCTGGGCACGTACCTTGGTCCTGAAATGTATTTCAATGTACATCAAGTTCAACATTGATGGATCTTTTAATGTTAGTGTTACTACAACTGCATCATGTTTCTATCAAATAAATTTCAGTGTCAATCTGATTAATGTAACTGCATCTGAGAACACTTCTTAGAAAACACATAACTTCTTTTACTTGACTTGTTAACTGAAGGTCAAAGATTTCTTTACATTTAATATATACATGCACATGTAAATCAAATGTCAATTCATGTTGAGTATTCAAATTGAGAACAACAAATGAAATAACAGTACTAGATGGCAACAAAATAAAACAATTGGATCTTAAGATTTCTCACTTTTTGGATTGAAGAGTAGACGTGTTGATTGGTAAGGATACTGTTGAGTCCTGGCTGGTCTCGTCCACGCTGTTTACAGACTGACCACTAGTGACCGGTGTGGACGGAACGTTTGGTGAGCTGAAGCTCCGAGTCATCCTTGTTGTTGATGGCTTGGTTTTGATTGGTCGAAATCCTGCATCACTAGGCGTTTTCCAGTCAGTTGCTGTATCTGGTTTGGATGTTGAAGCTTTTTTAGATTCTTGCAGTGATGCATACAAAGCTTTCTTTAGTTCACGTTCCTCTTTCCAAGATAAGCCAGCTGTGATATCCTAAAATCACAAGCAAAACATGTAGTTACCAACCCCAACAATAAATATCTTGAGAAGATAGTAAGTTTCTAGAACTTGTCTCCAAATCCATTTGTTTACCTAGCTGTGACAATGAATTATGTTCAAACCAAACCAATGGTGTATATACAGGTATAAACATATAATCTTGTAATAAATAATTGGGTGATATATACAGGTAAACTTTAGTATCTTAACATCGAATATGTCAACAACTTGGGATATGTCGATGTCCACAGTCCCAGCAGTATCTTCTATATACATGTACATGTATATACATGTACATTTAAATGATTTGACAAAAAACATGCATATGTTGACCTCGGTAATGTCAACTATGTCATGATTAACAGTTAGTGTAATATTACTAATAAATTACTAATTATAAATGCACACGCTTGTGCCTATTTATTTATATCAAAACCTATGAAAAGTATGATCTGAAAAAGGCAACTGAATTACAATAAATGAGAAACACAATGAATCAAATAAATTATGTAAGAAATTAAACAACTTATTTCTGATATTTGTGGTAAAAATGCATTCAACGGATAACAATTTGGCAATGAAAAATAATGACACATTCAAACGGTGATTCAATCAAATAGTCTTGATTCAAACATATGTACCATTCTCTGTGTTTAGTTCAAATAAAGCAAAAAATGTTAATTTGTTTTCTTTCTTGTAGGGTTCTATGTTTAGACAGCGCATTTCATATCCTGTTCTTACAAAATGCAAACATAACATGATTTGGAACATTGAACATTTAGTAAAATTTAAAAACTTTTAAAAATATGGAAAAGAACACATTTTATCATTTAGATATTTTAGTTATTACTTTTTATGCAATTAAGAAAGAGAGGAATTGCTGAAACTGTTGAATTCATATCCATTTACCATGTAACAAACTCATTTGCCATATCAATAAATCTTGGGCCCTGCATCTCAACTCTGTTATCTTGACACCCCAGATATCTTGACATTTTCAAATAGTTCTGCCAATGTCAAGATTTCGAAGTTTACCTGTATTTCATTTATCAATTTATTTGGGAAAACAAACAACTATTCAGGGGACCTACATAGCTTTTTGGGGAGATGTTTCTCTTGGGTCTCTTAGATCTGTGGGGCACTGCTGGCTCTGAAACAACAGGAGGCTTCTTACTTCCTGAGGAACTTCTTCTCCCAACCATGTTTGAAATCTTTCCTTCCTAACATAAAAAATGAATACACATATATAAAATAACCATGTTCTTTCTTTGATTTGAAGATAAATTGAACTGTTGAACATTTTGTCCCAAGAAAGTGACAAAAAAAGTAAATATCGCTTAATCAAACCATATTCATTTTACAACTTAAATCTTTACTTTGTCTTTTAAATTGATGTTTATGTTAAAAACCCTTTTTGAGTTATAATTTTTAAGTGAGACAAACATTAAATGTCTTTATTCTACTAGCCCTCATCATGCTCTCATTTATTTGAGAAAACATACAGTCAAACTTCGATATCTTGAACCCGATTAGACAGAGAAAAAACTTCGAGATATCCAAGGATTCGAGATATCAGGGGTAAAATACTTTAAGAATAAATGGTTGGGACTTCCAGATCACTTCGACATATCCATGGTATTCAAGATATCAGACTTCGAGATATTGAAGTTCAACTGTATATAGAAAGACACATTACATTTTCAAATGGCATTTGCAATTGTAACGTGAAGCGCTCACCCATTCAAGGGTTATGCAAGCTCGCCGTTGCTTAACTTGCCTGAAATACAGGGAGACTCTACTGCACCACTAGAAGTTACCTCACTAGCAAGGCAGTATAAGTTCCCTATGTACTGTCCACTACACAATGTTTCTTAGAGAGAAATCTGTACTATTTGGTACTATGTGAAGGAATATATATCCATTGCATCCAGGTTCATTAAAAGGACCCTGTCCCAATTGAAAATTGACTCTTCTCCCCCAAAAAATTTAGGTAAAAATTCCCAAATGACAAGCAGATTAAATTTTTCATCGCTGAAACAGCTCAATGTTTAGAGCACAAGACGACTAGTGATGCAGGGATCCTGGGTTTGATTCCCAGTCCAACCATAATTTTTCTCCCTTTCATGTTACACATTATCTAAGAATTACATCATTTATTACAATTTCATTTATTACTGGAACAATTTCAACAGTGAAATACTGTACAGTAATTTATCCAATGTGACCAAACAGTTACTTTTTAAAAGACATTTAAAGAAACATTTTTACAGAATAGCTTTTTAAATACTTGGCATACAAATATTAACAAACAAATCTCAAAAGACGCTCTTTTATTCAGAGTTTCTTTTTTAATGACGTAATTATATGTATGTAACTTTAGAATTTTATTATAATTTCTAACACACATGTGTTAAATTAATTTATTCATCCTTCTTAAATTACGTTTATTTGTGTTTTATTGTACAACGCTTTTGATTAATTTTATTAATATTCAGTGCTTTATAAATTTATTATTATTACTTCTTAAATGAAATAACAAAGAAGACCAGTTCTGCTTAACATAATAATTGATTAGTAATTATTCAGCACAATGTGAAGTAATCATACTTATCAATGCTTCACCCCAACAAAGTGGTGTACAGTTACTCGAACAATGAAAATACATCTTTTGCTAAATAGTGTTCAAATGCAGCAATGTTTAAACCATCTCTACTTGTGGATTGCTTTTTTAAATATCCCTAGTATAAGGCCATAATAAAAAAAATTCCTAGATTCTCATCCAAATTTTTTGAAAAATCGGGGCGGCAGGCAGATTTTATTTTAATATTTTTTTCTCCATTGTGCAGATATTTTGCTGACCTGATCAATTGGTGCAGATTTATCTATTACGCTCAAATAAAAATCATAGTAGAGGTACATTTGAGTATGCATATCTCTTACGATCATCACCAATCTTTCACAACCAATAATCCTTGTTTAATTAATTAATACATATTACAGCAATTACCATCTTGTCAGCTGTCAAAATCATGCTGGCATTTGATTTAAAACGAAAGTTGAAGGGTAGTTGAATATCGATTCTGATCAGAATCAAGACAAACAGAAATTTAAAAAATCAAGGCGGGCAGGGATGAGAAATCAGAATTTAGGAATTTTTTTCTTATGGCCTAAACATAAGTAGTCATCTACTTGCGATTTTTTAAAAATCTTTTTTAAATAAAAAGCAAAATTGTGAAAATTTGCATTGAAATAACTAAATAAATCCACCAGAGGTATCTAAATAAAGCTACGGTAGGTAATTTTAGCTACGTAGCTAAATGTACTGATTGTACTGGATCCGTTTGAAGTTGAAAACTATCACCGCATCAAAGTGCGATTTTTTCTTTAAAAAAATGCTCATTGAAGAAAAAAGTATAATAAAGTAGGTAAACAAAGCTACCTCGAGTAGCTAATTAAATTTATGTAGGTAATTCAAGCCACGTAGCTAAATGTAGTGATTGTGCCAGACCTGGTTGTTGTTGAAATTTAAATAGATCTATCATGAAAAAAATATTATATTATATTATAAGCACCATACTCTACTTCATGAAAAAAGGCATTGCTTTAGTTTATATATACCTACTGTATGTTAAAACCCGATTCACATAAATAAAAGGACCAGCTTAAAATTATGCTTTTGATCGCGTAGCATCACTTTCCTCTTTGTGCAGCAGAGCTAACCAAACTAACAACAAAGTCATGTGCTTCCGGTTAATGGAAAATGTCGATATTCTTTAAAAATGACTGGTCTAAAATACAGCCGAATTAAGATTATATTAATAAATAAATACAAAATAAAATAAAATCAAAGCTTTTTTCATAAGAAATATCTCTGGCGCACACAATAGAAAATGAATTTAAATCTATATTTTGTCAAAATATATTGGTAAATAAAAACTTGATTTATATTAACTGCGTTCCGGTTATTTTAAACATGGTTGTCACTGTGGCAAAGCAGCCGGTCGCGGGATTAAAAAATGCACTTTTCTTTCTCTTATCAGTTTTAACTTTCGCAAATGGTATTCACAACGACAAATTTTCAGAAGAGCTCTTTATAAAACCCTTTTCTAGTGGACATGTCATGTTTCATTTCCAGTTCATAACTATTTGGAATGTGTCGATCGATAAACCGGAATCATGTAAGCACCTGGGCACTTTCAGGTTTTAGCATTTTCAGTCAGTGATATGTTTTACGGCGCAACCGTTGGGGTGAGCGCATATTGGATACCATCAAAACCTTTTCATAGCTTACACTTTTAACTTCTTACCTCTTGTGATTTCAAATACATGTACCTGTATTTATTTCTTTTCAAAATTCATACCACCACCTTTCATGATTCTTTAACTCTGGTTTACTTTTGAAATCCACAATCTGGTACAGTACAATTCGTTTTTTATCATACCGGTTTTATATCATACTTCTTTTTTTATCATAGATATCTGAAACACAAAACCATTTCTTAATAATTCATTATAAATTTCGTCTGTTATTATCATAGGTCAAAGTATACACTTCGCTTACTATAATAGAAAATTTCCGTCCGTAATATTTTTTTCACACCTTTTCACTCTTGGGATAATCAACAAAACAAAAGATAACACCTATCTACACCTGTGGCTCATGCACTGTCGCTTGTCTATACACAATGGCTTGATTTTCACTTTGAAATTTGCCAATAGTGAAAGACTGGGGAGATTAGTCACACTTCAGTGCACTTACCTGAGCGATTCACAGGGAGTCTGTTTATTTCATGAATTACATGACAGGATAACACGAACTCTTTTTTTCATAACGTATTTTCTTCTTATGTTAATCCTGAATTGTACGCTCGTAATAAATACCTTTTACCAAATGTGTTGAAAGTAAACTTAGTGTCAATATTAACCCAAGCTTTCTTATGCTTGGTGTCTGGATCAATGTTCATAGTTAATTACAATTACAAAACTACCCGATTAATTAAGAAATAATTAAGTGAAATTAACTCTTTCACCAGTCTGTCCAAGCGGCTTTGAATGCATATGCTCATTGTATCAATCAATTTTAATTGTACGGCGACATTAAGTGTAAATAGGTAATTTTTTATGCCTACTTTGGATGAATAAAAGAAACAATTTGAATGCATGCTTTGTTGCTGTGTTAATTTATTTAATATGTGACCAAAACAAAAAACAAAAAAAAAAAAAAAAAAACCGAAACGAAACATTGGTAATTTGAATTGACCATAAATTAAAAATGAAAGTAGATCAAAATAAACAAGATGGATGCCAAGGGATCTAGAAGATTGAGTTTGAAGAGTATAAAGCTTTATTTAAGTGAATTTATTTATAATAAAAAGTTGAAACAGTAAGTAAATATTGTGAAATGATATGTCAGTTAACTTGTATTTCAGATAAACCTAAAAAATCGAAATTATATGTAAAGTAAGATGTATAATACATCCAATAATTTACACAAACGTCGTATCGTCAGCCGTCCGACATGAATTTCAGCCGACTATGGTTATTATAAAAGTCGCTTATTATAAAGTTTTGACCTGACAAATAAACTATGATAATAAACGAATTGTACTGTACTATGATAATATGTTGTCGGTGCAACAGTTGGGGCGAGCGCAGTTGCTTACTTTATTTTAAGATCTGCCTCTTTAAACTGCACAAGACATTTGGAACGTCTAGACTGTGACGTCACATGACGTGGTATGTTAACTGCATTTTCATGAATGAAGTTTGAAAGTGCAAAATTTTAACAAAGAATGTTTAATCTATTACTTTATTTGTATGCAATATCCATTAAATCAAGGTGAGTTTATTTTTTGTGAATTTTTAGTTGTTGTTACTGTGAGAACGAAGTTAGCAGTGAGATCCACAAGTGTTGCATTGTGGGTCTCGAGGTAACTGCAGAAAAAAAATTCCTTTGGATCAGTGTGCAAAATATGAATTTTCTCTTCACCCAGGTGTTGCTTTAAGAGCTTGCAGTGACGAGCAGCGCTTTGTGCCGCTTGCTGCACTCGCTGTAATATTTTGATTAATTGTTGTTTGAGAGGATTTTTCACTCATATGAGACAACACTATATATCGGTAAAGGGCTTCAAATTTACACATTTACCTTGGTACTTGGCACTCAGGACCATTGAATAATGAGGGTTCTTTATTATGCCAACACCTTCCATGACACAAGACCTCGATTTTTAGGGTATCATTTAAAAGACCCATCACTTTTACTTCCAGTGCCAGTGCTTGCAAAGGAAGTCATTTCCTGGGTTTATGTTTTAGGTTTGATGCATTGAGAACAAGAATCAAACCCGGTACCTCCAGATCACAAGGTTGATCGATTATTTTGTTGTTCACAAGCCTATAATGCCTTTCCTTTTTGTGAGTGCCTGAAATCATTCCTGGTTCAAACTTCAGATAAAAACAACACCTTATTGAATAGAAGTGCTTGTAATGTTTCAGTTGGCTTAAGTAAAAGTTTCTTTTTTATATTTCTTTTAGTTCAACACTATCACCTGTTTCCCAAATCACTTGGTGATGTTTTAACAACATACAAAGTGAAAGAATTGCATCTAAGTCAAACACAAGGACTATGGAAACATGATAAATGGGGATACCCTCCAGAGGATGCACCCCCAGGGGCAGAGTTGTGGGTATGGTTCCAACCTCATGTTGGGTAAGTTATAAAGTATGCTTTATGGCAATCAAATAAGAATTATTATATATATGTTTTTTTGGATGAAAATATTTTCCTTAAACATTTTATCTACTGCTGCTAATTTCCTTCCATTTAATCAAAATCCCACTTGGTTTGAAAAAACTGGAGAAGAAAAAATGTGAGATTAAAGAAAGCCAGTTCAATGGTTAAAACAAATTTTTATTCTCTCACAGTGTTGATAAGACCTGGGCTGATCTTGTTAATGCTTTATCTGGCTTGTTCTGTGCTTCTCTGAACTTCATGGACAATAAGTCAACTGTGCAGCCGCGATGGAGTTTCCGACCCACAGGATTGGCCTCAGAGTTTTACAGTGCAGATACACGGTTCATCAGGTATTCCACACTTCCAAGAGAGGTGGTCTGTACAGAAAACCTGACTCCATGGAAGAAACTCCTGCCATGCGAATCCAAGGTAATACTTTTGTTTTTAAATAAAGACAGCATATACATATATACTGTATACATTGTAGCCTTAAGAGTCTTCAAATTGTTAGTTTGCATAAATTATTGTGATTATGATCAATGAAGAATTCAATTGATACTTACAAATGTCATATTTGTTTTACATTTATAGATTGGTCTTGCCAGTTTGCTTAACTCTGTAAAGCTCTATGATGGATTTTATCACTCACTTGGGGTCCATGTCAGATCTATATGTCAGGTAAGGGAGCTAAGTACTGAATCTGTATATCAAGTAAGGATGCTAAGTACTAAATCTGTATGTTAGGTTAGGGGGCTAAGTACTGACTCTGTATTGTAAGGTAAGGGGACTGAGTACTGAAATTGTATGTCTGTAAGGGGATCAAGTACTAAATCTGTATGTTAGGTTAGGGGGCTAAGTACTGAATCTGTATGTCAGGTAAGGGGAAAGAGTACTGAATTTGTATGTCAGGTAAGGGGTTAAGTACTGATCCTTTTCATTAAATTAAATAGTTTTGAGATTACATTGAGATGTGTTGTAACATAAAATAAAAAGCAGTACGGTATATGAAGTATTAAAAGTAAAAAAGAAGAAAAAATTTTCTATCATATTTTAATACTAGCAAAGTTAATACAATATATATGCATATTTTATCCCAAAACTAGATTGTATTATTGCGATCTGAATAATTTACATGTATTCTGTATGTTAGGATTCCCAATGTCACACACAGGCTACAGAGCTAAAGCAGACACTGACCGTTGTATATGATCCCACTACAAATAAAAATGGCAAACAAGGTGAGAAATGAATCTGATGATCTTGTCAGTGTGTTTTGTATTAAATATTCTTAAATATTAATCCTGTTTTGTTGTTCCTCATAGACTGGAGTTTTCAGAGCATGTTTGACAGAACTCTACAGTCCCAGTGTCCAATGGCTGAGACTAGGAAGATCTATGTGGATGTGACATCACAGGATGTAAGATTGATACTTTTATATATACAGCTGCTGCTGCAGTAAATTTCAGTTCAGAATAAATAACCTCACACACTTTATCAATCAAGATGCATTTAGGGTTAATGAACATTTCATTGTGTACATTTTGTCATGTTTGAAATGAGATGTTTTTTTTTCTTTAGACTTATCCCAAATTTACATTGACCCCTCTACCAGATTTTACTTTGAATCAAAAGCGACCTGGAGAGGAGAGAAAGATTGCTGTGTATGAAATTGGAAATCATTTATCAATGAACAAACTAAATCTGAAAGCTACATATGAGGAGAAGATCAAATTCACAAATTCCTCTCTGCCACCTATCTATGCCAACAGATTTGTAACAGGTAATGTCAAATTTATGACAGGTAATGTCAAGTTTGTCATAGGAAATGACAAATTTGTCACATGTAATAATATAATGTTATCACAGGTAATGGCAAATTTGTCACAGGTAAAATTTACCTGTGTCAAATTTATCACAATGTCAAGTTTGCCACAGGTAATGTCAAATTTGTCACAGGTAAAGTCAAATTTGTGACAAATAATGTCAAATATGTGACAGATGATGTCAAGTTTGTCACATGTAAAGTCAAATTTGTGACAGTCTTGAATGTCAAGTATGTGACAGGTGATGTCAAGTTTGTCACAGATTAAGTCAAGTTTGTCACACGTAATGTCAAATTTGTCACACGTAATGTCAAATTAAAGGGGCCTGGTTACAGTTGCATTGCTGTTTTGTTTACATTTTTAAATTTCTATATTTTTATTTGAAAAATAACTTCATTTTAATGAATTGAACTTAGATGCAGATTCTTAAGATTCAATGACAACAGCATTCTTCATATCATTAGGTCAAACATCTGTGTTTGTAAACATAGGCACAAGCTCTGTTATCGTTAATGTTAACATTTTACCAGGTGTTTGCAGTTTGTTAACTCAGGCATACATCACTGAACATAAACTGACAATACTGGTGTGTCAAGTTTGCTTTCTAACATTTCTATTATGAATTTTCTGGATTAAAGTTTGATACTTTTCATTAATACACAACAAATTTTTCACCTTACTTAACTACCGGTATTAAGAATAAATTATGCTTCATGAAAGTTCAAAGATGTGTGTCAATCAAATGCATCCTGAAATTCATAGTTTTAAAAATTTTCAGATAAAAGAAGTTTGTATTAAATGCCTTTTTTAAATATATGGATCTGAAATACCTTGGAAACATATAAGTCTTGATTTTATACCAAAAATTTTTAGAAAATATTAACATCAAATCTGTGTCCAAGCCCCTTTAAGCAGATAGTGTTACTTGATATAAGAACATTTGAAAATTCTAAGATGAAGAATTTTTTCCTATTTTAAAAGGTTATGTACCAAAAAATTCTGTGGAAAGATTTGTCCTCTTTTTATCCTTCTTAAAGGAGTTATATATACCAGGGCTCAACATTAACAAAATATCCTACTTGTCCGAACTCATTTTTTACTTGTTCAATTTTGAACAGAAATAGAGAAATTTTTAGAAATTTGTTTTCAAAAATAAAGTAGTTGTAAATGATATTGACTAAGAGATTTGTCTAAACTTGAAAATAAAAACATTTATACATATCAAAAATGCAGTAGTCTGTATAGCCAAGTCCCAATCACTCAAGACTGATAATGATATCTGGTGAAGTATGGCTGAGCCCTTTGGATTGTAACAATTCGTATTTGATGTTTGTGATTATTAAAAAAAATCACAGAGCTAGTTAAATGAAATCTGTGGGGATTTTTTCCTCCTATATTCACAATATTCCATAATGGTTAAAAAAAGGAATTTGTCCGATTGGACAAGTGTGTCTGGGGATTGACTTGTCTGATAACAAAATGAACTGGACATGGACAATAGGACAAACATTAATGTTGAACCCTGTCGACTGTTAAAAGTGTTTAAAAAAAAAATGTGTAGAGCTGTACTTCTTCTAAATTTTTTAGAATAAATGTTGCATTTTCAATTCAAATTGATTTTATAAAAGAATATTTCTAAACATATTGAATATTGTGTTCTTAAAAATACATGTACATGTATAGTGTATATTCAACTTGATAATCACCATAATTATCAAAATGCAAGAATATAGTAAGATCTTTTTCTGTCCAGAAACATGATGATGATGGATCATTCTGATTTTGCAGGATACGGACTGGAGAGAGGGGGTGTTACATGTATGATCTATAACACTATGGAATTCAACACTACAGTCATCTTCATGGAGACAGTGCCCTGGTTCTTGAGAGTGTACTTTAGCTCACTCGAGATAGAAAACAATGGAAGGGAACTTAAACCTTGTGTGTATACATTAGTAAAGATTTAATATAAATTGTAATGAAGAATGAGGTTGTATTTTTTTATTATGTTTCTAGTTTTTAATTCTGTCTGGACCAATTTCCATCACACTTTATTTTTTAGATAAAATCAACTTCATACCAGCAAAGGACCGAGCCAATCCATACCAAATGGAGATAGTGTTTCGACTCTTTGCCAACTCAGTCACAAAAATCACATATTCATTTGAGCGAGCTTTCCTGAAGTGGACAGAGTATCCACCAGATGCCAATCATGGCTTCTACATCAGCTCCGCAGTGATATCCAGTGTGTTGCCACTAGCCAGTAATTATACAGCAGTTCCTCAGTCTGTCTCACTTCTGGAGGAAAGGTGAGAGCTTTCACCTTACACTTTAAATCTATTTCACTCAGCTTTCACCTTACACTTTAAATCTATTTCACTCAGCTTTCACCTTACACTTTATATCTGTTTCACTCAGCTTTCACCTTACACTTTATATCTATTTCACTCAGCTTTCACCTTACACTTTATATCTATTTCACTCAGCTTTCACCTTACACATTATATCTATTTCACTCAGCTTTCACCTTACACTTTATATCTATTTCACTCAGCTTTCACCTTACACTTTATTCTGTTTCACTCAGCAATATGTCTTATATACTGGTTACTCAATTGAAAGGGGAAAACAAAATAAGTATTCAAATGGAAAATGCACAAATGGAGGGATGATTGACTTTGTAAAGGATTGGTTATTGATTAAATGTTTAAACTGTTCTCAGTCTCTTTGGTTGAGTAAGATATTAAACATGAAATGTCAACAAATACTTTGGTTGTTGCATGGAATATACCAGGGGTAATGTTATGTTACCGGTGGTTTCTTATTGGTAAAGGTATTTACTTTTTTATACTTTCAGTTTCACTAGCAGTTCCGGGTCATTTTTCCTGCGGTTACACACTGAAGCTTTGCTGGTCTCCCTCCCCACTCCTGACTTCAGCATGCCCTATAATGTGATTTGTCTGGCCTGTACAGTTGTCGCCATCGCATTTGGTTCTCTTCACAATCTGACCACCAGAGACTTCACTGCTTCAGATCCAAACAAAAAGAAAGGACTCATAACTAAGATAAAAACTTACTTTAAAAAGGATCAAAATAAAACAAAGGAGGAGGATTCTTCAGGAGAACCAGATAAATCAAGTGAAAATGACAAAGATAATTCAAGTAATTCTAAAGAAGAGACAAAGATAAAAGACACAGACTCTGATACATGATCACTCCAGGCACTTTTACAGAACAAACATCGATACTCTATATGCAAGAACATATTATTTTGATATCCATCGTTGATTTATGTTCTTTCACTAAACAATACCATATTTTTTTTTTTACCTAAGATAAATGTTTTTGTACTTATAGTCATTTACACCCAAACACTGATTTTAATTCCATTTTTGAATATCTGTATGTGTATTTTAATAGTTGTTTGTGTACATGATACATCCTTCATCACGCTTTTGTAAACTTTGTTAAAATTGTTAACGGAGATGACAGTGAAACAGTTCATCAGGTGTTGTAGCAGGTTAGATGAAACAACAATAATGGTCAATCAATGTACATGTAAACTGTGTATGAGAGTATATCAAAAAAGGATGAGATGCATTGTAGGTAGATACACATTGCCTTGTACATCAAGGCATGCAGGACTTGTTCCAATCATATTGAATTCTCTTCAATGAATACTGTGGAATCATTAGATTTTGTGATGGCTCAATACTCCTGGAATTCGTGAGTACCCCTTCATCTATGAATTTACATCCTCCATGAATTAATAAGCTAGGATTTCAAAGTCATATTTCCTTTTGTATATATGAATGAATACACAAAATTATGTCCACATGCACCTGTAAAATTTAAGCAATCCACAAAAATTGGTCTCCACAAATTTTGATGATTTCACAGTATCTGTGAAGTGGGTCATTTTACATTTTTTTTTTTTTACATGATTCATACTTTCTTTAGAAGTGATAAATTACATTTTGAAGGTACATAAATGGGTATGTAGTATATTTTAATCTATTGAATTGAAAGTGAAATTGAATAAATTCAGTTTCTACCAAATACTGATGAATGAATTTTGATGTATCAAAACAAAATTCCATGAAATTTTATGTACCTTGATATATCATACCTTGTTATAATGATCTCCTGATATATTTTTGTTCACACTGCTGAACATTATTTGGATGATGACTTTGATATATATTTAATAAGTAAATATTGTTGTTGCATGTAATGTTATGCATATTTAGTCATGAGTTGAACACTGAAAATATTTATTAGGATCTTGCATCAAGTTGGAGGTGCCGTATAGCAACCACTAAATCATCTGTCTGTCCGTCCATTGATACTTTTATGTGACACAATAACTGAAAGACTTCATATTTACTACATAGATGAAGGATGGTTAGTGGAAGACATCTATGTTCTTTTTTTTAGCAAAAGGTCAAGGTTTACTAACTTTACAGACTTTGAACAGTAAAACACATTTATAACGAAGTGCCATGGACGGACAATTTTGCTAGTTATAAACATAATTTGCTTTATCCGTTAAGTTCACAATATATTACAAAGCCACAGGAAATGAAAATCACTTCGCTGTAAACATCAATTCAATATAAGCGTGTTTGCTATAAGCATGTTTTACTGTACATTCTACATATTTGGATGGGAAAAAGCCTGTAGTTTTTTTTTGTCACTTGATTAAAGGTCAAGGTCATTGCTCAAAATTTTTTGTATGATCATTGTTATGCAATAACTTGAATTTTGTAACATCTGGACCTATACATGGAATATATAATTGGAGAATGGATTGATGAAGATGTAACAAAATTGAGTCTTGGTCAAAAGTTGAAATTATTGCCAAATGTATATGGTATTCAATTGAACTAGGATCTCGAACATTGATACCATGCATATGTTGAAGTGAGTTGGCAGTCCCAATTACTGTTTCTTTATGTATTTTATGGATATCTCTAATCTTCAGATATTGCAAAGTTTTTCTCAGCACCATTGAGTCCGAGATAAGGAAGTTTGACTGTATATATGGAGATAACTCCTGTAAACTCTAGTAAATTACAGAATTAAAAGGTCAAAGGACAAGGTTGCTTCAATCATGAATGACCATTATGGTGAAATAATTTGGATGGGGCCACAATGGGTGATCAAAGTTTGAGATAGGAATATATAAGAAAATTTTTTTAAATATCTTCTTCCCAAGAACCGCAAAACTATTAGTCATATTTATATTGAAGCATTTTGAAATAGTGTAGATTCAAGTTTGTTTAATTCGTGACCCCAGGGGTTGGGGGTAGGGCCACAATATGTGATCAAAGTTTTACATAAGAATGGGGGGGGGGGGTGATGAAGAACAGCAGAACCATAGTGACTAGGGTGAGCATTGTGGCCCATGGGCCTCTAGTAAGATTTTGTGCAATATTTATTTTTTGTGAGAGGTGATAGATACTAGTATCATTTTCTAAGAAAGTTGGATAAAATACATGTCAAGCTAGGATGAGATAATATCACTCTGTTTTACATTTGTTTTGAGTATGTGTGTGATCATAGTAATTTGTGTTTAATATATTTTTGTAAACAAGATGTACAAATTTCTTATTTCCTGAATGAACAAGAGTTCACTTAAACTCTTGAGGAACCAAATAAAATTAAGTCATAAAAAGAAATTTTTTCCCCTCCTTTTTTCATGTCTGTATTTTTGGTCATTTGATAAGAAATACAAAAATATAACAGAGATACAATATGTACTTAGAAGTTGCTGAGCTGTCATCTCCCGAGGCTTGAGTGTCAAGACCAGCATGTTAATCAAGTCAGCGCAAATAAATCAACTTGGACCAATGTCTTCACTTTACTGGAGTTATTTAATTATCAGGAAAATCTTCATGTTACCCCTTTTTCAGCTGGTGAATATTTGGCAAAATTCAGAACCTGCTTCTGGGTCGATTGATCTCATTCTAGTTCTCTTGATAATAATCTTTGTTTAATTATGCTTTTGTGTTACCAAAATGCTTGTGTAATGCATGTTATCTTGGTGTACATATCAAATTTAATAAGGCCTTTCTTCGAACAGTCATTTGCAAACACACAACCATATTCTTTACTTTTTCAAAAACAACCAATCCAGTAGGAATATCGACTAATAAGCCAAAATCAGCATGGATGGTTTTATTATGAGCTCTAAGAATTCATATTTATGAATTGAAACACACAGCAAGTAGGGACTGAAGTATATTTGACCTATAATAATGTCTTTCATTTTGAATACTCATCTTCTCATCTTTTTCAGACCCAAGCAAGTTTTCCATAGTGTCTGCAATCACTGTTCTGTGCAGATTTACTATAAATACATAGAACCACACACTTATTTGATGTAGTTGGTCAGTGTTAAATTTGTGTTTTTTTTCTTCTCAGCTGGACAAAGCTTTGAACATTCATATAACCAAGTCTAGTCATTCTAACACAAACAGCATAGAAAGTCATTTATTGGCAACATTTATTTCTCACAATCTGTGACATACTCTCCATTTAACAACAATCATAAAGTGCTATCATCCTCAAACATGGTAAATACAAAATATTCTGCCACCAAGAACAACATTAGATTTACACTGGTAAAATGTACAACCACTGTACAGAAAAAAAGAAGAACTCTTCTAAAACTCTTTTGTTAGTCAACTACAAGCTAACATTACATCTCATACATGTAATATGATCCAAATACATAAATTTTAGTAAAGTACTAATAAACAGAAGGCAATCACAAACCTTGTGCTTTAGACTTACATTATTATTTTACTATACTAATAGAATGACATATGCATGTATAAATTCTAGTATGAATACACATTAACCTAGAACAGGGAAGCACTTTTGGCTGTTAATTACACAGCATTGCACAGCAGGCTTACACTGTCAAAATCTCTAAAAACTACTCAAGGTTTTCTTTCCATAAAATTTATCTGTTACTGAATAACTTCCATATTGGTTTATCATAAAACAATTTTTGGTTCTCAATTGTTATGTTGAAATTATTCTCATATTAGTTTATCAAAAGATGGGGTTCTTTGGTTCAATTGTATGTTTTAGAGACATAATATATTAAGTAACTTTAAAATCTACATCTACCAAATTATGAAAAACAATTGAAAATGTCCAAGAAATATAAATTTGATTTTGACATACATGAAGTTCTTTTGGAATGCTTTTGATAAAATTCAACCAGTGAAACCTTAGAAATAATAAATCTTCAAAGTGTTATAATCACATGAATCATGTATACCTTTTTTTTCCATTTCTTTCGATGTGTTGGCAACTTTTTTAAACCAAAGATGGTATATCATAATCATTGACTTTAAAATTGGATTTTATACCATAGTATAAAAGGAATATGTTTGAGAGGGTTATGAGATTTTTGACAGTAGTGACTACATCAGAATTATATTTAAAGTATTATGCATTAAAAAAAATCTTCCTGATCAACTTCAGTACAGATGTAACAATATGTACGGACCAGCCTTACAATGGCCTTAACAGTGTAATATATTGTCCATTTAAATATTCTCCAATCTCAACAAACTTTCCATAGAAAAGTTTCATCAACCAATGAAAGTTGAAAATACAATGATATTTTTCTCTTTCAAAAATTACAACATTAAAAAGCAGGATACATTTCATAAACATTTTTATGACTCCCAGAGGTGGTCTCCCCTGCAATTTCTCTAGTTTTTTCTCCTGGTACAATGTAAGTAGTGCATTTTGCACATCAACATCACTCTTAACAAACTCAAAAGCAAACATATGCCAAAAACAATCAAAAATGTCAAACCACAGAGGATTTCTAAAATGACATTGATAACTAAAGTATAGGTAAAACTGTAATTTCCTTTCATAACAAAACTGTAAATGACCGATGCTTTGAAAAGGAGAATGGTAGAGGAAATAAACATGTACTGGGAGATGACAAGGGCATGTCTCAAAGGTATCAATTAATACTTATACAAGAAGAGAAAGATTTATTTTTTCAATGAAAAAAAAAATCCATGGTGGTTTCAGCAATTAGAGAAAAAGAGGTGGGGACCTGAACAACCAAAGAATATAATATAATATGAACTCTCATAAAAAATTCTTGAAAAAGTCTGTGCAAGATTTTTAAAAATATTTAAAGCAAGTTGGGTAGAACAAGAAAAATATAAAGCAGTGGTGGGTTGTATGGATAAACAAATGAAAAGTTTGGCCTTTTGCTTTGCACTGCACACACTATTTTAGACTACAGTACTTCACAGAAGTAGGAAACAGTTTACCTTCAAAGGAAGGCTATTCCAAGGACACAATTTATCTACTTCTCACAAAATTATGCAAATTGAATCTGCCTTCATTACTCTTTTCTGTAAATATCATTCAAAAGTACAAAGAAATTATCCGGTGCTCCTCTCATATGGTTTGATCTCATCAGATAAAATTTTGGAATTGATGTAAACTTCCTGTGAAAAGCAAATAAATGCTACTTGGGCCAGATTTTAAATTCTGTCAAGCATCCCATGTGTCCTCAATAAAACAATATTTACACAAAATAATAAATAATTCACTTGATATGAGTTTTCTATCACGACATGAAATTAATTCTTCGTCAAGATCTAAAGAAAGAATACATTGGGCAACGAAAGCACCACACACCCCTTCTTTTTCTAGAAAAACATATACATGAAATTACTGTTAAAATATAAGTGCCAAGCTGAGAGATTCATTAAACAACATTTACTTAATTCAAATAAGAAAAACTTATTTTCTATATACTGTATCTCAATCAATACATTAACTTCCTACAAAAAAAAATAATAGATAAGGTTACACTGCATTTTCATCAAGTCGCTCTTCTAGGTTTAAAAAAAGAAGTTACATTTTCTATCAAATTTTCAATTTTGTGAAAAAAAAGCAAGAGCTATTGTCTGTGTTTATTTTTGCACGGTATCTCATTATTTATGGCAGGACATTTCCAATGGATGACAGAGGTAGCTTAATTCACAAAATGGAGGGATTGTTCTGTGACCCCAGGCCTACACATGAGCAATATTTACAGCAGCCAAATCTTGTCATCTAATGGAATGCCATTTTATCTGTTATTTCATACTTGTACATTGATAAAACTTGCTGCCAAATTTACCTATTTTCCCTTTAAGTAAAATGAACATATTCTCAAAATCTATAAAGAATATACATTGTAATGCAAACAAAAATCCATGAATTATGAACAAAAAATAACTTGTAACACTGATACATAATTTATGTGGAAAAATAATTCTAAATTTCTTACATTACATATATCTACTGTGTAACTATAGTATAAATGGTATCAATAACAAAGCTCATTTCAATTAAAGAAATACAGATGTTTAGCATCACTGATTAGAAATTTTTAATTGAAAGTTTTTCTATGGGGAGAAAAGTATCAAATAAAAATGATCTATCTAATCAATCATTAGTCTGTTTAAACTGGCTAATGATAACATTGTAATACCTGACACAAACACAAATAATTAATAACAATTTCCTCTTAATTCGAGATCACACCTGTAACATGATAGAACACTTGAAAATGAAATTCTCACACTCAAAAAACCACACAATAAATATTCCAATCTTATCAACATTCATAACAAATTTCATCTCCTTATTGATAATATAGTATTGCTTGTTTTTCTGTTGTCTTAAATAAAAACCATTAACATACATGTACTGTTAAACACTGATCACTTGAATCAGAGCAGTGATTTTTTTTAAATACTTTTAAAATCTCCAATAGTCAGACTTCTAAAAACTGTTTTTAAAAAACACAATAAATCAATACACAATATCTTATCTAAATCTTCACATCAAACATATGCACAAAAAAAAAATTTCAAAACTCAGAAAAAATTGAATAACAATAATAGTAGTCTAATGCTTTAGCTATACTTTCGATCGGAATATGAGGACTTTATTCTCTTTTCAAATGAACCTTTGAACTCCTGAACCTGCATCCAGAGTGACGTATAACACATGAAGTAGATGACAATGAGAAGAATGAAAGAGAGGAAGATGCTACGATTTCGACAGACCTTCAATTGGACGATTTTAGTTCCACTCATCTTGAGGCTGAAGATGACAGCCCCCAGCACTAGAATTAATAATAAAGCAGTCACTACACTCCCTCCCTGGGCCAGCATCTGAAAAAGAGATCCATATAACTGCAGACACTGTGTTATGTGAACAGGTACTTAAAAAAGCTGGCTTCATATTTTAGAAGCTTTGGCTTGAACAACAATGCACTAATTCATGAATACTTAATAAATCA